GTGTTCTGTTTGAAGTCATCCGCCTTTGCTCGGTGCATCTCTGCTGTTTTCCTTGTTAATCTGCCTTCAACTGACATCAACTGAGAGGCAGCCACGCAGAGACGGGGATGCTGTGTTGATGTTGGAGAATCCTGAAGGTGCATAACTACGAACCCCTTCAAAATCATTTCTGTGATTGCAGTCAGGCCATAATTGTCACAGTTTGAGTCCTGCTGTTAGCTATCCTGCAAGATGGAATAGATTGGCTGACAGTCGATTTAAATACAGGAATGTCAGAGTAACTTTGTGCTGATGTGGAAATGATGAGGACTATAAAGAGCCCATATTACGCTATTTTCTGATGTTATAATGATGTTTCCTCGTCACAAACATACCTGGAGTTATGTTTTGTTTCTTTCTCACACGTTTAACACCCTGCATATTTAGGCTGAGTTATTCTCTCAAACAGAAAGCATGCCGTTCCACCTTGTGATGTCATGTGGTAATACAGGAAGTGCGCCATTGTGTTTTAAACTCCATACACCTGCACTAGAATCATTTGGATCATTTCAACCTTGGACTTGGCACTCTCTATAAAACAAAAGGTAAAAGGTAGCTGTTAACTTGAAAATTACCACTACATGACATCATAAGTTGGAACAGAGCATTTTGAGCTTTGGAGATGAGTTACTCAAACACGTGTGAATGAAAGAAAACACAACCTGTGGGCGTGTTTTTGGTGAAGTAACAATGTTATAACATGGCTAAAGGCTCAGAGTCAGTTTTGTGTAATATTCGACCTGTGTAACATTGGAAGTAAAATACAGACTCAGACTCATTTCCATAATAGTGTTAGTTAAATCTGAATATTTGGTCCTAATGGTATTCATACAAACCATTATGTAACTCTTATGGCTATTTATTGTCAGATATTTATGTCTAATTGGCCCCGTGGGTTTAGTCTTTATGGGAATCCTATATCTGTCTGCATCTTTATAGACCCGACTATAAGAGTAGCCTATATTATTGTAATACATATATCTATCTACAAGTAGAGCCGGGACTAGATACAATTTCCACAAGACATGAAATTAGATATACAAGAATGAGACAAAACAAGATTTTGACATTTTTATTAATAAATTGTGAAATCCAGTTCTCCATTTGGCCTCACCATTTTTGATTTACTTTATTTAATATTTCTGCTGTCATTGTAGTAGTGATTTTTGGGACTACAGCTTCTAAAAAAAATTTAACTTGCCAGTATTTATCTCACAAGATCATATTTCTTATGAGCGCACAATCTTATGGCAATTTTTCTTGCGAGATCTTGTGGCATTAGATCTTGTCCCATCCCTATCTACAAGTCAAAATACAACTAATGAATCAATTAGTTTAAAAAAATAAGTTGTTACTCACTAAATTTCTTACAATACTGGACCACATTTTTTTAGTATGTACTGTTCTCATCTCGAGTGCCAAGTAGATAAATTGTGGAAAATGTTCTCCAACAATCATAAAGCTATAAATGCCTGAGATTAAATTTTCAGTATAACCAGTTCCCCAGTGCCATTATAGTACTTCTTCTTTCTTTTCATTATTCCCTGCAGCCATTGTCTGTTAGAGAAGAATATTGGTCAGATTGGCTGGGTTGAAGCAGTGGTTAAGTGCCTCTAAAAACATGATGTGAAAGTTCGGCAGACTTTAAACAGCTTCTGTTTTGGAAAATCATACAGCCAAGCAACCCATAAACATTAGACAAAGTGACTGGCTCCTAAGTCTGTTAAAAATTGCTGTGGGTGCTTATTGTTTCCATTATTGAATCCATTTTCAGAGATGCTCACTATATTATAAACATGTTTCTTCATGTAAACAAAAAATGTCAAGAGTTTTTTTTTTTAAGTTGAAAAACCCTGCATATTTAGGCCTGTTTACACATACACAGGTATTTTTAAAAACTGAGATGCAAACAGTGAATTCACCTCTGAAAACAAATCTTTTTAAAAACTCCGGCTAGAGTGGAGATACTGGAAAACTTGTTTGCATGTAAAGTGAGATAAACGGAGTTTTAGGAGCTGATGCACCGAAAGTGCAACCAATGTTTACCTTTTGCTATGATGATGATCATGAAGCATTCAGAGCAGCAGTTGCAGTTCTTCTGGTGCAAACACTTTTCATGTGTTTGCATTTGCACACAGCTGATGTATCATACTGATGACCAGAGACAAATGAGCTCAGAGGTCAGCAATTTTCCCACTTCTTTGCATATCTGTAGAGAGAAGAGCCCACTCAGTAATGCAAGGTTTTCAAGGTATTTTTGAGAAATACTTATAACTAATGAAATAAATGCTAATCCAGGTGCCGCCCATAGGCTCGGTGTAGTTATGACTGCGCTCATTGGTGTATTTATGAGGGATGATATAAATGAAATCTTTTTTGAAAATGATGCTATGTTCACAATGTTATTTTGGAAAATGGAGGGAGGAAAAAATTTGTTTCTCCACATACCTGACTATGTATAAATGTAGCCTAGGACTCTCTTCTCAAAAGCTCAAAACACTTTGCCCCACTCCATGATGTCATCCAGTGGAATCCAGGAAGTGCTCCTTTGTATTTTCCATTTCCAACTGTCGAAGGTACCAAGGCTGGAGTGTCCATAAGTACCTAAAAAGCCTATTAAAAAGCCTATTAATAATACATTTACTGTATTTTTCCATAATTGCTCAGTAGTTTGCATGAAGTGAACTAAACACTGGTTACAGCATCTTTACATTGTGGATTTAGATTATCACATAGTTTCCTTTTTATTAGACAGAACAGTGTAGCCTGAAAGGGGGGTAAAGAGTGGGGTCGACATTCAGCAGATATTCAGAGCCCACACAGAGCCTGGCATATACACTGCAACTTAGACCATCAGACTAACAGTCAAGAGGCTCTTTATATCTAGTTAGCATCCTATATATTGTTTTTTTCTTTGATAGTCAGCTCTTTGATTTCTATCACAAAACTTCCGTTCCTTCTTCTTCCTCTGCCCTCTGCCCTTCACGCACTGCTGATGATGTCTCGTCTTTATTGAAGCTGAGCAGTGGCCTCTCTCTCTTTTCTCCAGCAAATTACTTTACTGTCCAAGAATTTCCTTTTTTTATTTCTGATTTCCGGCTGCCTTTCTTGTGCGGGCCCCAGAATGACCTTTGCCACACACATCTCTCTATTCTAGCTTTGTATCTGGTGCGCGTGTGTGTGTGATCAGCGGGCTTCAAGCATGCGGCTTTCATCTCTTTCTCTGCACTTTTGTCCGGAGCTCAAAAGGACTGCTGACTCATCTCGACCAGTGAGTTTCTTCAAATGGGGGTGTGGTGGTTTCTTAAGGCTGGCTGGAGAGAATCTTGTGAAGGCGGTGTAGTTGTCACAGAAAGGTGTGAAGAGCAGTTGTTGTCGGGTGAAAGCTGATTGAAATTGCAAGGGTGATGGAGGTCACTTGATGATGCTTGAGTGGCAATCAAGGAAAAGTGACATGAGTTTTTCGTCAAAGTTCCTCAACCGGACTTTCAATCATTGGAAAGGTTAATGTTTTCACTTTGTCTTCCATAAAGCATGCAACTCCACAACCCTGACTCTTGGAGGAGGGCTAAGTTCTAGCCAGGCAAGGCCGCCTAGTGCCTCTGCTCAATTTAATTTCTCTCCAGTGACTAGATCAGGAATCGGAATACACTAGACGGTTTTCAAGAACCCTGAAAGTTGTAGACCGCACACTGGCCAGTCAGCGAAGAGCTGTGAAGCCATGATGTCAAACACAAGCACCTGTCGAGATGGATGTAGACAAAGTCATACATTCTGTGTTGACAACGATTCCCGAGATCAAGGATTTAAAGCTGGAACAAAGAGAATGTCTGGTGATTTTTATCAAGAGGAAAGATGTTATTGCCCTTTTTCCTAAGGGATCTGGGAAAAGCTTAATATACCTGTTAGCCCCTGTTAGCAACACATTACATACAGTACGTCATGACCAAAGGGCAGTGATTGGTTAAATTAAAAAGTATCCACCTACCGTCAAGCGATCAAATCCTAATGCTGTGAGGTCAGACGGTTACCATGAAGTGAAACCGGCTGATGAATCAGGCTAGCTAAGTCCAGCTTGTTCCATCTATCCCAATCATCTGAAGTATGATTACTGCTTCCATGGAATCATGTAGATGATGTGTCTTGCGTGGATACTTGGTTCCTCAAATGCAAGGATTTTGTAAAAAAAATAAAATAAATTCAAATAAATTATTATTATTATTTTATTATTATTATTATTATTATTATTATTAACACGAATAATAATAATAATAATAATAATAATAATAATAATAATAATAATAATCATAATAATCATAATAATCATAATAAATTAAATGAGTAATCGATAGTACAAATAGTTTGACCTTGTAAATCCAGTAGCGTGCTTCAGCAAGTTGTGAAACTTTAAGATCAGAAGATTTATGCTTGATGTGCATCAGACAAGATTACCTAAGGGCAGACTGCATGTGATTATGTAACCTAAGTAAGAGTATCAGATGGCTTGGAAAAGGACTATAATCAAATAAAATCGTTGCCCAATTTCCCACAAAACCTGTTGCAGCTGGTTTAAGGATTCCTTGGCAATCCTTAAAGGCATGGCACACAGTTTTCAAATAAATGAAATGAGATGCCTCACTACTCCTTCTGTCTGCATTCTTTAAATTTTTGTTCAGCTATATTTTGAACAAACTATTCTGTCTTTTTTCTGTGATCAAACTGATTTTACCTTTGCATTTAAATAACATTTAGTTGGATGAGAACCATATACAAGCAACTGTCAGAGGCTATCTCAGAAAATGTTTTGGCGTCATGGTGCAATATCTGACTGAGAGAAAAGACTGTCAGTTCAAACTAAAGCATTTTTCACTCTTGTTTCAAAAGTGTGTGTTTAAAGCATTTTAAACTGAAATAATGAAGATCCACAAGAATAAACCCAGCATGCCTATCTGCTGTTTCAGGTGCTGATCTGTCGTAACTACATGGGGAATGTGGACATGAATGAGATCGATCACTTCATGCCGATGTTGATGAAGAGGGAGGAGGAGGCAGAGATGACGCCCCTGATCACACATGGATCCACACACTTCCTCTGGGTCAAACACAGCAACCTCTACTGTATCCTCCATCAAGTTTAATCCAGTGTCTCATGTTCTTATATCTTTCCAACACCTAGTGGAGTGTCATGGAAAGTTCAGAAGGAATTATTTACAATGAAAAAATCTGTGGGTATTTGAGTTTAGACCTTCTCCATGGCATTAAACCTAGAAAAGCCATCCAGACCAACACCAAATATATATACACTATTATATTAGTGGATGAAGTACTCAGTTTTATTACTCAAGTAAAAGTACAGATTTTTATTGCTACTTATTTACAAGTTTATTACCATTTAAAAAAAATATTTTTTACCCTATGTTATTGTCATATATTGTGATATGTGAGCTACTGTGTCCAAGTAATTTCCCTTCTGGATCAATAAAATCTGTCTAAGTCTAAATCTAAGATACAGAGTTACTTAAGTTACTCAAGTAAAAGTATCACATGATAAAGTCTAAGATAAAGTATTGAAGAACTTGTTTTTGTGTTTTTTTTTACACTTTTAGAGTAAAGAGTAAAAGTATTTCACACAGGTTTTGTTAATTTAAGTGGTAATATATATTGATAAAAAATTATGATAAAAATTATACAGATTTTGGTCAGCACTTGGAGTAGAAAGTAACACTTGGAGTAGAAAGTACAGATACCTGCTCTCAGATGTAGTGAAGTAAAAGGAATAAGAACCCACTTTAAAATGTACTTAAGTTAAATACAGTACAGTACTTTGCTACTTTTACTCTTTTACCTTCCACCACTGCCTGTTAGGGAGTCTAGGGATGCATTTTGAGATATACCTTAGTCATCCAGGTAGAGTCTATGGCAAAGTATAAGTAACTGTATCTTTGCTCTACTTTTCCAAAAAAAAAAAAAGATTTAATATAGTTTTGTATGGATCAACCACTTACAGGTAATACTGAGTAATAAATTCATCATGAGCACTGTTTAGTTTAATTTTTTTTTTAAAGCAACTATGTATGAGATGTCTCTTCCAGATTAATTCCTTTGCTGACTAAAATTCTTGGTGGTGATCTCTGTTCACAACCACAATTTGCTCTTCAGTGCTCTCTCCTCCTAACCCCCTGTCCTGTTAAATTTTGATGCAACTCTGACCATGACTTTTTGAATTTTCACTACGAAGTATTCTAAGCGAGAAAATGAAACACAAGTTAGAGCTTACAATAAAACCTACAAGGCCATATGACAAAACATCTTGTATCTTGCCACAGGATTTCAAGTTCATCTCTGGGTGACAGCTGAAAAATGTTGGACATACTGAACCTTGCGCTGTACAGTCTCCTCTTCATTGTGAAATTGGGCGGTCTAGCGCTCTGTAGCATTATTAATTTAACATGATGCTGCAGATGTGAGTAAGTGAGTAATTCCCAGTGCTATGCGTTAGACAGCTGAGTTCCTTTACCTCCCTCTGGCCATGCTCTGTTCTCTGAGTATGATACAGTAACTTTTTTCTTTTTTGTATTCATCTCAACGAATCGCTTCATCTAAAAATATTCATATATACGGCATATCTACCATGCGCCATTTAATAATTCAGAGTCTCTCTCTTGCATATGTTCTGTTAGCCCTTAACCCGCTCTTCGCTCAGTGGTGGCGATGACCAAGAAAAATGCCAACGCTGCTCTAGTATACTCCTTCCTTTATAAAATAGTTCAGGTGAGTTAAACATATTATCAATTATTTTCATATTTGGTTTGTAGGATTGCATATTTCAATTGTAATAGGTTGCGCTCACCTTGCATCACATTCAAAAATTTTCAATTCTAGAGTTTAAAATTTAGTTGGAGAACAAGTCAGAAATCTGTGGTCAAAATTACTGTTTCACTGTTATTTTGCAAATGTTTTAATCTCTTTTTATAATTACTGAGCCTATCCACATGAAACAATAAAAAGTCATCCATTTCAATCTGTCTTCTGTTATTATGCATTTGTGATGAAATTATGCTAATTGTTCGCTGAAAGGACTTTGAGTGGTAGGTTTTATTTGGCAAGTTTGTGGACCGAATCTCTAACAAATAAGATTCAACATTTGTGGATCATAAGTTTGGTTATTTCTTTCAAATAAAGTCAATCTCCATTATATATGCCCCTGCGCTACATCAGGAAAATATGACATTATCATATTTCAAAATGTCAACACAACCTATGGACTAATGGTTTTAAGAGAATTTCTAAATTATGTTTCATTTGCAGTTAGAGCAAAGTGTAGCTAGTTTAACATTATTGGAATGGTGCAATATTCATAAACATGTGAATATTTTATTATAGCTACTACTTCTATCTGGAGTCGTACTGTGAACAGATATCACCTCCTGCGATTCTGAGTCTTGTACGCAGCATTTAGATTGCTGCAACTTGATTTATTTAAATAAGTACAGACACCTTGTACTTTATACTGTATGCAATCTGTTTTTGAAGTTGTAGTTGACTTTTTATCTGTGTTGGTAGGTTTTTAAAGAATATTTTAAGGAAGTGGAGGAGGAGAGCATCCGAGATAACTTTGTGACGGTGTATGAGCTGATGGATGAGGTCATGGACTTTGGGTTTCCTCAGACAACGGACAGCAAGATCCTACAAGAGTAAGAAAAACACGTGAAAAATCATTGACATTGATTATGTATGTGGACGTGTCTGATAATGTTACTTAAAGTGTAGATATTTTACTTTTATGAGGTATTAACTGCTAACACATAACATATATAGATCACCATGTTAACTTTTATTGTTTTGAAAATGCTGTATTTGTCGAAAACGTTTTCATATATTTTAAGTTTTGTTTTTGACACTGTAAGTCTCCTCTCCCTTTGCTGTCCTTGCTAAGTCACTCCCCCTTCAGAGCGCTATCACAACACAGTTAGTGTTTATCCCACTAATGACACTACTGCACATCGCATCAGGTTTGTCAAGCCTGAGAGAGATCGCTAAAATAGTCAGAAATGCATGGAATGTTAGAACATTTTAGAAAGCTTCAAAAGATAGATTTTACATAGTACCCCCTATTTAATTATTCATTAATTGTTCAAAAAGTAATAACAGAATTATCTCAAGGTGTAGTCCCATTTGCTTGCACTACACTAGTTTATAACAAAAGATGCAGTGGCGTTTCAGAAGTTCGAAGTGGCCAACTGCATTCCACTCTTTTTTCAGTTTTTGTTGCTTTACAAACCTCAGCTCCGCAGGTTACCAGCTCAGAGCCTGGTGTGCAGAGCCATTCAGTGATTTCAGCCCACAGCCAAAACAGCTCCGTATCCAGTCTGAGAAATGAACTGGAGCTATACAGCCCTCTACCTCCTGGAGAGTTGTGCTTTTGGCTTTCTCTTAGTCTTTTTTACTCTTCTCTCTTTCATTTTCATACTTTTTTTTTTTGAGAAATTCACTTATTTAACTCAAAACCTCAGCAACTACCTCTACCACACATTACTATGGCAATATCCTGCGTCAGTGAGAATAATACAGCATAGTCTATACAATCTTGCATTCAATACTTACACTATCTTAGTTTTTCTTAATAGAAGTCCCTTCAAGGTCTGCAGTCCTAATTAATATACGATTCATCTAGACTGTTGTAAACAGAAAAATATCAGCACCACTGCTCAAACACAAACACAGTGAGGGTTTATTTATTATTTTAATTATTAATGCCCTTTAAAGCTAGAGTATATAATTTTTTGGAGGAGGCAAATCACCTGGAAGATTCTATTTAAATAGAAAAGCATACTTTTGAATAATCTCCATAGAGATAGATGTGTTACATGCCATACTATGGAAAATTATAGCCAAAGGAACAAAATTTCTATGGAGTGGAGCTTTTTTTTTTCAGTGTAATAAAGATTACCAAAATTAAAAAATATATAAATAGATAAATATAGATTAGTCCTCATTTTTGGCAGTGTAGGTTTCAAATGCAAAGCTTTAAAACTCGACCATGAACCTTAAACATCTACTTTTCGTACAGGTTTTCCTCCTTTGCTCTTTGGCTCCTGAATACTGCATGCTTTTGACTTTGTCTCCCCGCCTTCGTTTTCTCATATTTTGCCAGTATTTAATAATCTGGTAATTACTTTTTATATTAAACACTACCTTCCTTAAAGCGACTTTCCTTAACTATGGATTGGCAGTTTTCATTAGTTTTGTTTAATTTTGGCTTTGTGTGGATAGTTTCCTGGAAGTACACACAGCTGATAATTACCAGACTCCCATTGGAATTCAGTATAATGACACTGTCTGTTGAACACACTCTAGATTCAAACAGACCAGCTCTTCTCCAAGGAGATGTATTCACTACAGTTTTGTCTTAAGGCTCTTCCTATTTTCCTGACCTTTCTATGCCCCGCCCCCAGGCACAAAGGCTCCTGTTCTACTTTGCACTATGAGCTACCTGGCAGGGGTTCAGCATTTGAGAGAGTGTGTGGGTGGATGGACAGAAATGCTGCAAATGTGTGTATGCTAGTAACTATAACCACAAATAGGTAAAAACAATGTACTGCTATTGTCATGGAAAAATACTGCTAATATAGACATAAAAATAGGCATTTATTCATTCATCTTTCATCCAAAGGCCCATATTAGGCAACTATTTTCTGATCTATGTTGTAATGCCGTTTCCTCGTCACAAACAGACCTGGAGTTATGTTTTGTTTCATTCTCACATGTTTAACACACAAACCCTCCATATTTAGTTCTTCTCTCAAACCAAAAACACTCTGTTCTACCTTGTGATGTCATGAGCTAATACATGATGTGCTCCACTGTGTTTTTAAACTCCCCACAACTTAATTAAAATCATTTGGATAATTTAAGACATGGAATTGCCGATCTCTTCTGAGCTAAAAGTAAAAGTTAAGATGAAAACTGCAACTTCATGACATCACAAGGTGGAACAGAGCATTTTGAATTTTGGAGCTTTAGAGATGTAGACAGACTAATAATAAAGAATCACTCAAACGTGTAGAAATGAAGCTAAACACAACCCTGAGTACGTTTTTTGATGAGGTAACAACATTTTAACATGACTTTATGCCTAGACTAGGTAGCTTTATGTAAACTTGTTTGGGTGGAGCTGATGTCTATCGTAGTAAATATGAGTGTTGAGAGGAACATTAAAATCACAATACAAGCATACATAATCACATTAAAATCAACTTTAAAATGGTTTCAGTCAAGAATAAATCATGTAATGAATGGCAACTCACCTGTTTCAGAATAGAATAGAATAGGTTTCAAAATCTAAATCTCAAATCAAAATCTCCAGTAAGATGTACTTTGTTATGGCTTTTAATTTAACATGAGTTGTAAGACATGTAAATAGCCATCCTTAGGGTGTCCGCTTCTTGACTCACACAAAATGTACAAAAACTCACGTAGTCCGTAGTTTGTTTGATTTCTTTATTTGCAGATTTTTCAGCATGCGTATTCGGTGCAGTGCGGTGCGGTCAAAGACCATGTCGGTCACCTTCCACAATGCCATCGTCCCCACACACCTGTCTCCCTATTTGTCCTGATTATTTGACCTACTTTTTCCCTAGGACCCACCCTTTTATGCTATAAACCAAAAGACTTAAATTGACTGAAATAACTTAAATTGGGACTGAAAGTAATTCATTTTAACGTTTAAATAAATTTAAGAATAATATTTTAATAATTGGTTTTAAGGTATAATAAAGTATGAATTTATGGTAAAATATAAAATAACTTTTTAAATAAATAAAATTATGGCTCTAACATACTTTGTCTGGAATGTTCCACATGGAATTAAACATGTTAAGCAATGAATAAGTACAATTAGATCAAGTAAGAATGTGTATTTCTCAGTGTATTTTGAACTATAGAAACACCTGTTGTCTAAATGAATAAATGCAAAATGTCAAATGTCTGACTGTGGGACATTCCAAGCAAAGAAAGCAGATGATCTTCAAACCTTTGAAAAGAAAAGAAAAAAAAAAACAATTACAACCTTTCATTGTCTGTTAACCCACTGCTGTGCTTTATTATAAGAACTAGTACAAGAAGTGAATGCTCAAGTGTAGATTGCTATTGTGGTTATGCTAATCTGTCAATTTGCCACCAAAACAATTCCAGATCCAGATTTTGCATGAACATTTGTGAGCAGAATGGGGGCAAAAACAGAACAAACAGACGAGAAAACAACCCCGAGCAGCCCACAGACTTTTATCTCCCAAGGCTCCTCCGGGAGGCTGACACCCTGCTGTAGGTGGAGGCTTCTGGGGCGCAAACCAGAGGAGGCTGCCTCAATCTGCCAGTCAATCACAGTCACTGTTTGTGTGGTGTATTTGTGTGTTATGTTAATTTTAATGATCATGTTCTAAAGCTGGTTGGTTCGAAGTTAAAATCTGGAGTTATAACAATAGCAATATAGCATATGACTTTGAATTGTTTAGTTTTGCAGTTTTGTTGGAGGTAAAATTGGCTGTGATTATTGGGTGGATACTGGGACTAAATGAGTCATTGAAATACATTTAAAAGTAAACATATTTCGAAATACATTAACATTTTTTCACATTTTAGATAGCTCTTAATATTCATTTATTTATCCTTTTACAAATGTGTACTGTGAGCTTGTATCTCCACAAACCTGACTGTTATTTGGCCTGGAGGTGGGCTATCTCCTTTTGTCTCCATGGAAATATTGTTCCATTAGCTATAATCTTCTAGCCAGGCTGCCGCCACCTAATGCCTCCACTCCATTTCATTTCTCTCCATCGACTAGGTCAGGAATCGGAATCCACTATTGCAGCAAAGAGCCATACATTCTGTGTTGCCAGTGATTCCAGAGATCGAGGATTTAAAGCCTGAACAAAGAGAATGTTTGGTGAATTTTATCAAAGGGAAAGACATTATTGCCCTTCTTCCTACAGGATTTGGGAAAAGCTTTACATACGCCACAACCAAAGGGCAGCGATTTGTAAAATAAAAAAAGTGCGAGTGAATTCTAATGCAGCGAGGTCAGACGGTTTCCACACATGGAAAGTGTACTGAAGTATGGTTTTAACTTTATACTTCCACGAATCATGCAAGTTTCATGCCACATGGTGTTGCTTTAATAATAGGTTGGCAGATTTGGTTTGGCACTTTTCATTGGTTTAAAATAGCTTTGAGTGGGATGGAATAAATAGTGAATATAGCCTCTTTGACATTTGGAGTAAAACAAGAGCAGGGCAGCACCATGAGATCACTGGGTCACTGTGTCTCTGGGGGATGATCTCGACCTGAAAGATACAAATTACAGAGACTAAATATAGTGGTGTAGAATCACTGGAGAGAGGTTTCAGAGGTGGAGGTGCAATTACATTTCATGCTTGTTTCATTCCTAATCTCCAATAATCCGTGGCCGCTCTGATTTTGTGTGGTTAGAAAGGTGAGGTAAGGCTACAGCTGTGCCTGGCAGGTCCCTTTGTAATTAAGAGCACATGTACCCAAGAGATTTAATGCACATCTATTCAACAACAGGAACAGCTCTTAAAATATATCAATGATTGGCATGGTTTAATGTGGATTTTTTCAACCAATCTAATACTCACCCTACACCTTTATCCTGCTGTTGTGTCAAGAATGGATGTATGCAGAAAGTCCCACAAATAGTAGCTCAGAATTAGCTTTTTGTAATAAAAAAAAAAAAAATGATTTAACTGTTTTTTTTTTTTTACCAAGCCAGACTCTAAACCTCTTAAAATTCGTAATTATTTGTTGTCAACCAAGATGTGTGCATGTTGTATGTGCTTCTATGGAACTAGCTGCAGATACTTTATGTTAATCAAATTTCCGTTACAAACTGTAAAGTGTTCTCTTATCTCGTCACCATCTGAAAATCTGAAAAGCTTCTGAACATCATTGTAAAGCTATACACTCATACAATTGTAGCTTGCTCTTCTGTTTCCATAAAAAATTGAAAAAATCTTTTTTTTAAAATCTGACATTTTATAGATATCTGAAACCATCCCCTGCTCTTACCAATAGTAGCACCAATGTGTCACCTATCCCCATGAAATCACATACATATACTGTATGTTGCATAGGTTGTTGTGGAGTCAGGGGACTGGGGTGGGGGCAGGTGTTAGGACAGAAAACAAAGTAGGTCACATGATGTTTATCTAAACACAACTGCCTCCTATTCTCCCAAGCCATTATATGGAATCCAAAATCCCCTGGGGACCACTAAAGTAAGTGGGCCTCCAGCACAGCAGTCAACAGGTGCAATGGTGAAGAAACATTCAGCTAGAGCAGTGTGTACTTTGTAAACACTAGAACTTGTATTGAAAGGTATTTGTGGCTGTTCAGTATTTTGTGAGCACCTATGCCCCACAGCAAGAAGTGCTGGATTACTCTATTAATACAAAGTCAAAACTCTTCTGTGAGTAAGAAGTTAACATTGTTGAATAGAGAATTAATAAATAACTAAACCTGTATTGTAGTCAAGTGTTAAAAAAAAAAAAAATCCACTGTTTTTTATTAGTTTTGGTCTTGATTTGAAGGGAGAATGTACAGAGATGTGGCTAGAGATGACTAGTTTCCATCTGCCTTTTCTGATTTACAGGAATACACTGACAATGTTATGACATCTGCAGAACGATCGACACTCTCTGTTGCATACAGGCACACAACATCACAAATGCACACTACACAACCAAATCACATTATTTTTTATATTTATAAGACAGTTATTGAATTGTACCATTCTGCTTTTCAGTATTGCATCTGTCCATATCAAGACAATATCAATTCTAAAAGCAAAATACAATAATATACAAGTTCCACCGTGCACGTCAATATAATGTTTAGTATAATGTTTGTTTACATGAGACATAGCAGGGATTTGCTATGTTCAATCCCTTTAAGCATAATAAAGCATCTTTTCTAGTCTATTAAGCTTCACATTAACTCTGTATTTGACCTTCCTCACAAAAGTAAAATAGTATTAAAGGGTTAAGTGTCTTCCATCTCTTATCTTTTATAATCCCATATAAAATGAATTATACTAATGTAAAATTCCTAGATTATCCTGATTATTTGACATGCCTGAACCGCTTTTAGGCAGTTGATGTTTGTCTTATAAACCTAAATTATCGACACAAACTGCTTTTGTTTTCTGTGGCCTAAGTCAATGGGTTTATGTAAATCTTCTGTTTCCAATTACATCCATGAGCAATCTCCAAACAACAGGAACAACAGGCTCCTCTAATAGATTCATACTTGGGCTGCTTATTTCACTTTATGAGGTGTGATTAAAGTAAGCAAACATCACGCTGTGTCAATTATGCATATTTTTTTACTATTATCATAAAAACAAAAGCAGATGATGATATGACGATAAGGTGTTTCATTAACATTATTGTGAAGAAGACTTTGAAAATGTATTTAGTTACAGAATAATGAACCTGCAGCTGTACCTGATTTTTACTGTCTTTAAAATGAGAAGAACAAGTTCATTTTAAACAGTTTGCAGGGGTCCACTTAGATCATATATCACAAAGAATTCATCTCAGAGTTTTGTTGTGACAGTAAAGCTAACTACAACTAGCATGCTGTGCAGTTCCTGATTACTGGCCAATAAAATTTATCATTAGATGCAGACAACACAGAGCTCTATACAGTATCCGTAAAGGGACAAGACAAATTTTACTTAAATACAAACAATATTGAGTACAGGGCCTTTCAAATCTTTAAATCTTACAAGAGTCAGTTTTGTGTCATATAGGACTTTTTAATCATTTTATCTATACTTATTAATGAACACATTTCTCTGTGTCTTGTAGGTACATAACACAGCAGGGTCATAAGCTGGAGGTGGGTGCCCCAAGACCCCCAGCAACAGTTACCAACGCAGTGTCCTGGCGCTCCGAGGGCATCAAGTATCGCAAGAATGAGGTCTTTATGGATGTCATCGAGTCTGTGAATCTACTGGTAAGAAAAGCACCATTGGTGGTGTTATAAAAAAATTTCAATATTTGTTTTGTATTCACTTGTATGCACACTGTATGGTACAATGTGCATGACTGGATACACAATATATAGTATTTTTGTTGTTTTAAAATGTAAAAATTTATACAAAACTGAAAGGCACAAATTCGCACATTAATGTATTTTTCAGGGATAAGGAATAAAGGGTCCTTTTTTTTTGTGATAACAAGGTAAAAAATGGTATGATACACTGTTATTAGGCCCTGGGACTTCTGATTATCCTACTGTAAGCCTACACGTCTATTACTCCAGCTACTCTATTTACTCCAGCAAAAGCTATTGTAAATTACTTGACTGACTGAAATAAGTGTGGATTTAATCATCTGCACATTTCTCCAGACCTATTCTGTTGGTTTACTTGACAACAAAATAGGTTACTTAGGTGACCGAGATATGCGTAGGTTTTCTTGAGAGATTCAAATGGTTTTATAATATGATATTTTATGAATTTACTGTTTTGTATTGATTGTGTTGCTGCTACCTTGACCAGATCTCTTGAAAAAGAGATTCCGAATCACAATGGGACCTCCTGGTTAATCAAAGGTAAAATAAAATAAAAATACAGCATCACTTGTCACTTGCTTATTGTTTCATATTTTTAAGGATAGAGTCAAGGTTGCACATTTCCTGCAGCATTGGCAAAGAGCACAGACATTTGTCATGTTTGACCGTGAGCCTTGTTTGAAGCTAAAGAAGTAGAGGAGAGACTTGTCCTCGTCCTTGAAGTAACATCTTACGAAATACAGCTACAAAAACAAAGGAGCAGATATTGTTTAACTGCTACAGTTCTGTGTGTGTCACTTCCTTCTCCTTTTTCCATTAAGACTTGAACACAAATTAGCTGCATAATATAACATAAAATTACATTTACACTTAATTTATAACTTGTTTAAGTTTTTTGAAGATGCGGCTTTTAACAAATTTTTATGTTTTTAATTACTTGAATTTATGGATTCTAAGCACCAAACATTCAAGACTTGTCTAAAGTTTTGACAATTTATCATGTTACTGGATGTAACTTTTCTGGAGACTTGTAGGTAATATCACCAGGCCTACTTAGATGCTCTGTGGAGAGGTTAGCCTGCTCATAGTTGGAATGCACACTTTTGAGGGTTTATTTTACCAACTAAAACACGTGTAAGATGCCTTTATTGGCATACTTTAATGCCTTAAAACGATGTCCATGAACACAAGCCGGAGGCAGACCCATCACCAGAAAATGTTACATTATGATTATAAAAAACACCCCATCCCATCAGACATCTAACATAGTGCACCTTTAAGAGACCTTCTAGGGGCAGACATGCCAAATTAGCCTTGCATTGTGTTACACATTTGTCCATGTTTGCCCCTTTCAAATAAATAGATAAAAATAACTTTTGTCAAGCTTTTGTTTTGTTTTTCTAATAGTGGTTCTTTTCTTTCTTCCTCAGGTGAGTGCAAATGGCAGTGTACTTCGCAGTGAGATTGTGGGGTGCATCAAACTCAAAGTGGTTTTGTCTGGCATGCCTGAGCTCCGCCTGGGCCTCAATGACAAAGTGCTTTTCGAGATCACAGGCAGTAAGTAACAGCGAACAGTGAGTATTTCATGTGCTATATACAGCTCAGACAACACAAATCGATCGCAATCCAATAACATTCACATTACAATGACTATTCAGAGGAAAACAAGGGGAGAAGGAGGTCTGTGGTCTTTTTAATGCATCGAGTTGTAATTTTATTCTTGGCCTCTAGGTGTTGACAAAGCACTTGTTGTGATAACTGCCAAAAGTGAAATTCCACATTTTACAAAGCATCTTAGATCTATACCTAATGATTTGTTTTTTATGTAATTTCACATGTACATCATTAGAAAATATCAATGTTTTAAAGAGCCCATATTTACACCATTTTCTGATCTATGTTATTTCATCACAAACATACCTGGAGTTGTGTTTTGTTTCACTCTCACATGTTTTACGTACAAACCTGCATATTTAAGCTGAGTTCTTCTCTCAAACTGAAAACAATGACATGTAATAATACAGGAAGTGCTCAACTGTGTTTTTAAACTCCATACACATTCACTAGAATAATTTGAATCATTTCAGCCCTGGAATTGCCAATCTCACCTGAACTAAAGGTAAAAGGGAGAAGTTACCTTTAAAACTACTACTACATGACATTGTAAGGTGGAACAGAGCATTTTGAGCTTTGGAGATTTAGATGGAGTAATACAGGATTACTCAAATGTGTGAATGAAACAAAACACAACTCCAGGTATGGTTTTGGTAAGGTCACAACATTCTAACATAGCTTAAAGCTCACAAGAGTTAGTGCATTATAAGATCTTTAAGTCACAAATTGCACACAAACGTGTGTGGTGTATAGACATAGCTTTGTCAGTAGAAAGATTTACCATAAAAATGTTGGTTTGAGCGTTCCTTGTAAGAAGACTCCAGCACACCTGTCTCAGTTTTCATTTACTTTTATTTACCTGTTTCGGCCCCTCTGGTCTTCTTCAGGTGTACTATATATCATTTACCCGAGGATGCCTTTCCTTTTACGTACCTATGGCTCAATGCTGAGTTCACTCAGATTGCAGTTTGAGTCTTCCATACTGTTGTGTCCTTGGGCAAGACACTTCACCGGCCTTGCTTTTGTTTCTGGGATTGGAATAGTGTCTTGCTGTAAAGTGCCATTCAAATATGCCACTTTTACCACATAAACAAATCCAAAGTTGATTTTAGACAATGGTGCTGTCACGATACTAACATTTCAAGCTTGTTTCAAGAGTCCTACAAAACACTTGACTATGTTTCAAAAAGTGTGCACTGGTGTGACTGGCTGCTAAAAGTGAAATTCAGCATTTTACAAAGCAACTTATGTAAATAGGTTTTAAAAATAGACAAGAATTTTTGACACAGGAAATATGTTTTAATATAATTTGGTCTTATACTATTTCTGACATGAAGATCCTATCTTATAGTCCTACTTCTCCTCCTCATTTATTTATTTATTTTTTGCATTAATACTTGTTCAAATCAGTATCTAGTTTTGAGACAAGTTTCAGTATCATTTATTATCAGTATTTTTTACAACCCTACCAGACATTTACATTTGAGGTGAATATGTTTCTACATTAGAAAACCACTGCAGTATTCAGTGTAAACTTTAAACTCACCCTCACACTTAACCTTTGGATACTTTGGTGTGCTCTGGGCTCTGTACAATCCCGGTCTCACCTTTTATCTCCTCTCCTCTTTCATTCCTTCAGATTTTCCATTAAAGCTTCACAGTGGCACATTTCATCGGGCACACTCTCGTCCCTCTCTATTTCTTACCCCTTACTGATCTGTACCAAAGGGGGAAAGGCTCTGCTGTCTGGCCCCTCTGCCTCTGTCTTAATCCTCACCTTGGGCTATGGGCCTGGTAGATAAAAGGTGTGACTCAGTGGATATCTTGTATAAGCAGTCCACTCTCCCCCCACTGTGTTAAAGCAGTCTGGGAACCAACGCATCCTCAGAAATAATGATCGGGAATAATGATCAAAAACAGCGTGCCGGTGCAGATGTGAGCAGAATCCCTACACGGATATTTACATGTCTTTGGTCGGGTATTTTTAAAGCAACTTAACTTCTGATTCTGCAGTCGTCCTGGGTTTATCATCAGGCATGATTTGCACTTTTTATCTCAGCTGGATGCTATTGAAATGAGGGGACACTAATACGAACTGCATCACTGCCCTCTAGTGGTTCAAAGCCAGATTACACATGCTTTTTTAACGTGAACGGGAGGTTGAGGTGTGAACAATTTAACACTTTTATTTTTAGACACATTTGCAGATCTCAGCCAGATTTTTTGTTAACAGTGCATGTTTTAACACTTCTGGGAGCATTATCTTTTGAGCTGTAATATGAATTTCTAACTTAATAAAACCCCCATGTGTTTTGTTAGCAGGTTTTCTGTGTAATATGATTCCATGAACACACTGGGACATTTCGTTCTCAGCAAAGGACTTTGTATTACCCAAATATAGTTGCAGTACAGTATAGTTGTAGAACATTGCAACCAGTCAAAAATACATTTTGTACAATTTGCAATTTTGTAATAATTTTGATCCATATTACACTATATTCTGATCTTATTATAATGTTGTTTCCCCGTCAAAAACATATCCACAGTTGTGTTTTATTTCATTCACACATGTTTAACACACAAACCCTGCATACTTAGGCTAAGTTCTTTTCTCTAATGGAAAACACTCTGTTCCACCCTGTGATGTCATGGAAGTAAAGGAAGTATTCCACTGTGTTTTTAAAGTTCACCTTCACTACAATCATTTTGTTGATTTCAGCCTTGGAGTTGCCAAGTTCTTTTGAACCAAAGGTAAAAAGGTAGCTGATAACTTGAAAACTACTGCTTCATGACATCACAAGGTGGAATGAAGCATTTTGAGCTTTGGCGATGTAGACCGTCTACGTACAATAATAAAGTAACTCAAACATGTGTGAATTCAACAAAAAACACAACTCCAGGTATGTTTTTAGAAGGTAACAGCATTCATGGCTTAAAGCTCACAAGAGTCAATTTTGTGTAATATAGGACTTTTAAAGGTGAAACTGTCTATCACAAAATGGCATTATGTTGTATAGCTTGCATTTATTCAATTACAGGTGGTAGACCCCTTCACCAGAAAACTTACACAGTGTACTTTTTAATGTGTATTCAACAAGAGTAACATTGTATTTGAGTTCTCGTTCTGCTTTATAGTTCCCCAAGCTTCTCTTACTCCTCTACTTATCAGTCACACACATGGTGGTGGTGAGCGTAGGCATGGCCATGGAGACAGCCTTTCCAACCAGCAATGAATAACATAAATACATTTATACAGGCCAGGTGTGTTTGCTAATGCCAGCCTTTGTGTCAGTGGGCACTTGGCGGACATCTGCTGAATGAGCTACTTCCAAAAAATTCACTCACATTTCTTCTTGAAGCTACAAGCCTTGACTATTTAAAAGCCGCAACTAGCCACTACCTTTTTATCAGTGCTAAACAGTCCCTAGATTAATTGCCCAGTATTCTGTATAAAGTCTAGCAATGTCTTGTTTTGGGGGTCCGGTTGTCCTTGGATGCCCCTTTCCTATTCACCAAATGCTTTGTGAATACTGTTAGTGTTGTCATGATTCTAAAATATCAAAGTCTAATTCAGTACTAAGGAATAGGCTCAATACTCAATACAGATTCTGATGCCAAGATGATAATAAAAAAAATGTTGATTATGTTTATTTAGACAACAGAATGTGATTTTATAGTACCTTCTTTTATATTACCATGTGGCCTTATATCTGTGTAATTCCTCAGTCATGCTGGAAGGTTCCATAGAGACCCTTGGTCAGTCTATATGTTCTTATACTTTTTTCTGAAAAAGCTTAAGATCATTCTGAAACCATTCAGGATAGATTCATTTCTGTCCTGTGAATGAGACTTTTTAATATTGATACTTGTTCAAAGGAGTATCTAGTTTCGATATTAGTTTTAGTATCAATTAGTATCTGATTTCTGATACTTTTGACAACCTTAGATTATATAATTATTCTTTGGTCATGTTTGTTAGCTATCCCATGATACATACAGTACAGGAAGCAGATTAGGTGCATCCTGTGTATTAACAGTGAAGAATGCAGTGAGAACAGCCAATAGTAACCCACTGGGGACAGGCCCTGCATTTTCAATAGGGCTTTGACATGTACACAACCACACACCTGTCACTGAGTCTGCCCCCTCAGGTTGTTGAGTTGGCAGAATGTCCCAAATGACCTTTTCTATAGCAATAACAGAGCACTGGCGGCACACAAGTCGACAATTACATGAAAACAAACTAGGAAAGAGAACGAAATGAATAATTCCATCTGTAATAGCTTTGCTGCCTTGTTTTTTCTGTATTTTGCTCTGTTTGCTCCTCACCTAAGCAAGTCTCACACACAAGCAATAAAGTGAAATCAATAGTGCACAATGAGCAGGTTAACCACATCTATACGCACACAGCACACACACGGGACAGGACAATGAATTCCTAGATGCACATATATTGTTGGTGGCAGGTCTTATTGGTCTGGGCTGCATTCAGGGGCTTTAGCTGACAAGGAAATTGGGGGATTTGCAGAAGGCTCACAGTCCCACTCTCATTAAGGCACTTTTTGACCACTCAGCAGCTGCTATTAAGGATGAGAATAGTGGTGTCTGGCTGGCCGTACATATCTTACAAAAATAGAACCGAAGATGGTAGAACTGTAGCTTTTGAGGTTTACCAAGTCTTTTCACGTTTAGATTGTTCTTGTGGGGTCACTTTATGGGTCACTTTATACTGTCCTATAGTGGGTACTCAATTTATTTTTTGGTGTATAATATTTTAGTAGAGTCATCTTTCAATTTGAATTGGAATTTGTTTTTGAGATGAAAAAATCCTTTAGTTTGAAATATGTGAATTTACTTTCAATTCCAGTTACTCTAATAAATATTACCACAAGCAGAACAGATTGAATGAAGTTGTCAGGTTTTAAAGGGCTCATATTGATATATTTTCTGATCTACTAGTATGCTATAATGTTGTAGCCAGGCTGGTGCCATCTAGTGCCTCCACTCAATTTCATTTCTCTCCAGCGACTAGGTCAGGAATCTGAATACACTAGACGGTTCGCTAAAACCCCGGAAGTGCGAGTTTGGTCGAATCAGCGAAGAGCCATATATTCTGTGTTGGCAATGATTCCCGAGATCGAGCGTTTAAAGCCGGAACAAAGAGAATGTCGGTGAATTTTATCAAGGGGAAAGACGTTATTGCCCTTCTTCCTATGGGATCTGGGACAAGCTTAATATACCAGTTAGCCCTGTTAGCGGCACATGACCAAATAGCAGTGATTGATTAAATGAAAAAAGTACCCGCCTACCATCGAGCGAACCAATTCTAATGTTGTGAGGTCAGGCAGTTTCTATGAAGTGAAACTGGCTGATGAATCAGGCTAATAATGTTGTATACTTGTCAAAAAAGTATTTCTTGAGTTGTGTTTTGTTTCCTTCTTAACACAAGAATCTGTTTTGTATAATATAGGACCTTAAATTATGTTGGCCCAATCCACAGTTAGCTGATGCCATTCTTAGGATAAAGGCTATCTGAGACTAATAATATGAAATTTGTTTTTGTATTTGTATTGTATTTCTTAAATGGTACAATTCATATTAAAAAACAAGATAATATGCAGGCTAATTTCCATCCTTAGTACCCAAGATATAAAATATCTATATACATAGGTCCTCAAAATTCACCCAAATGAAACAATACCTCCTTACATATTTTTGATAAAATCATTTTTGATGTGATGTTCAGACATTGTCTATTTTCATTGCAAATTCACCAGGGATAGATTTACTAGGGATCCATCTTTTTCAGTTCCGATATCAATTCCCATACTATGGCTTTAAGTATCTGCAGATATCCGATATCCGTCCCAGCAAACTTCCATGGATTGGTGCCGATATTCAGTACCGTTATCAGTATCGGTGCTTCCCTAATATTTATCCTAAACTTTTTATAATGAACAACTTTACTCATTGCTTAATCTTTTTTATAATCCTGTCTCCTAACTTCTCAAACATAATGATATTTTTGTTGACTAGTTGCTGCCTCAGGCTCTGTCATAAGATGATTATGCCAGGTTTTCACATGACATGCACCTCCTGTTAGTGTAGCTGCTAAATAATTGTTGCGTCGGGGGCAGGATGGAGCTGGGTGGATTTGAGTGTATACACAGTGTGTGCCTGCAGTACAGACTGACTGGATGTTTGTCAGTCATCATTACCTTGACCTTGATTTCCCCTCAAATAGATGGAGAGCTCTCCCCATGCGATTCCACAGAAAGCTTTCAATCACTCAGTACTCTTATGTGTTTTTTTCTGTTACTGTCCTTCAGGAGAGAAGAGTAAGACAGTAGAGCTGGAGGACGTGAAGTTTCATCAGTGCGTCCGCCTGTCACGCTTTGAGAACGATCGCACCATCTCTTTTATACCACCGGATGGCGAGAGCGAACTCATGTCCTACCGCCTCAACACAGCAGTAAGTGGAGCGTACAGAGGATTCAATCTGCTCCAAAACATAACAAGCATTTTAATTAGGCACTTGGTTTCAATCTGTTGGTATCAAGCGTCAAGCATCATATAGCCCAACTCATTTTGGTCTACTGCCCTTCTCTACTCTATAAATATTGTATGAGGATTATTTTTAAATATAGATTGCATTTTAAAAGACCAAACCACAGCATTTTTTGTGCATATTGCTAAATAATTAGTTATGTCAGATTCTGTTATCTTGTGTATTAAGTATTTTGGTCCTGGTTTGATCTCAGTTTAGTCCTGATGTAGGTTTCGTTTGGTCCTGGTCTAGTTTAGGTTTAGTCCCAGGTTTTAATCTCTGGTTTAGTTCCAGTTAAGTCCAAATTTTGAAGCGGTGAATGTGCAATTGTGAACACACTCACTTGAGAAATAAAAAATTACACTTGTATTAATTACAGGCTCCTGAAAATGTGTTGTTTAAATCCTTTTTGTATTTTTTCTTGAGTTTTCAGAATATCTTAAAACTTTTTTCTAAATGTTTGCTAATGTGTGCATTGTGCCACCATAGTAACTCCTGAACTTTGAACCAATAGAGAAACATATAGAACACCCCCAGCATGACGTCACTGCAAAGTCTCGTTAAAGTTGCATCTGAGTTCAAAAGCAGTGCTCACCTGGTATTGAAAGTAGAAGTTCCTTTTGAAATTCTCCTATCTGTCCTGCGTTGCCCTGCGGCGCCCCCTGTGTCAGTTCGGTGATGTGCTTTGCGGTTCAGCCCTGTTCTCCACTCTGACCTTGTCCCCCTCCCGCTCCTCTGTGACAGGTGAAGCCGCTCATATGGATCGAGAGCGTGATTGAGAAGTTCTCTCACAGTCGTGTGGAGATCAAGGTGAAGGTAATGAGAAGTGACAACACACAAACACACACAAACACACACACATTACAATAGCTAGGCTTTATTACATGTCTCCCAGTCTAGAATAGTATAACATATAGCTTTTGAAATTGAAAAAAAGAAATCATTCTTCTGATGTCAGCTATCAATAATGGTATTTTGATTGATTATGGCAGATGTAGGGTGGGGGCCAGTATAACTCTATGGAAGATGAACTGTTTTTGAAAGAAATATCCAGAAATGTTCAACCCATATTTGTTTGGGATTGGTTCTACAAACATGCCATTGTTCTCATGGCTTAAAGTCCTTTTATTTGACAAATACGATGTCCTTGGACCTAAATATTGGAACAGCTTCTTGAGGCCAATCCCCCAAATTAATTTCATTTTAGTTCATTACTGGCAGACAAGACAGTAATTACAAGGGTATTAATGATAAACTAGGAAAAAATGGTTAAATGACAAATTGTATTGTGACCTTCCCTTCAGCTGTTATGTTATAGTTCATATATTTTTCAAACATATTTAAGATTTTTTGTGTGGTAATAAGAATACATACACACACACGTTGGGTTTCCATGCTTGTTGGGAACATTACACTATAAATCATGTTGTTAATCTAATATTAAAGGGCTATAATTTCTGACCTATGCCTGGAGTTGTTGTTTTGTTTCATTCAGGCATGTTTAACACACAAACCTTAGATATTTAAGCTGAGTTTTTCTCTCACACAAAAAATACTGTTCCTTTCTTGATGTCATCTAGTAATACAGGAAGTGCTCCACTGTGTTTTTAAACCACAAACACCTTCATTAGAATCATTTGGATAGTTTCAGCCTTGGGATTGTCAATCTCTACTGAACTAAAGGTAAAAGGTTGTTGTTAAAGGGACAATCCGTAATTTTGAACATAGGACCTCATTTCCTAGTGAGCCAGAGTGTTGGAGACGTGTGGAGACACTTTTTAAAATATTTCATCCAGTCCTTGTATTTGCAGAGGTTGCTTGTGCTAGGCTAGTGCATGTCAATGGCCATAGTTATCCTGCCACTAAAAACATTCTTACCCACTCCACAAAGCATCCGAAGCAAATCTATTATTACACCAGACTGTCGATGTAAATGTCTGTGTTGATAGAATAATTTTAGAAGTAAAACCAACCTTGCATTTGAAGGATTTATGTCTGAGCAGCAGTAGTGAGTTGTACTTCCTGATAGAAAGCTTGGTAGCGGCGGACTGATATCACCTAGCACCTACCTTACCAGCAAAGTAAAATTCTGCCGCTCTGAGAAAATAGTCCCGCAACATGTGACAATTCATGCGATCCAAGGTTAGTTGTATTTCAAAAATTATTCTATCAACACAGACATTTACATCAACAGTTTGGCGTAATAGTAGATTTTTTCGGGTGTTTTGTGGAGTGGGTAAGACTGTTTTTAGTGACAGGCGAACTATGGCCATTGACATGTGCTAGCCTAGCACCAGTGACCTCTGCAAATACAAGGACTGGATGGAATATTTCAAAAAGTGTCTCCACACGTCTCCAACACTCTGGCTCACTAGGAAATGAGGTCCTATGTCCAAAATTCCAGACTGTCCCTTTAACATGAAAACTGCCAGTACTTGACATCATAAGGTGGAACAGAGCATGTTTTGTCCCCGTAAACTAGACAGATGTTCGTGATTTGAATGAGTGTACAGATTTTAGTCCCCACAATGTCATAGCTACTCGCCCACACACATATGCACTGGGCTTTCTGCTGTTTGTCCCTGAGACTTATTTAGTATTTATGACACATGCATCTCAGGTGGATTATAGCTCTCACCATCTGTTCTGACACAGCACAACTCCACAAACACCCAGACAGTGCGAAACCAAATGCAAACAAAATACTTAAAATCCCTGAATCTTTTCACTCTCAGTGTGCAGAGTCTCTGATGACCTTTGACCCGCTGTCCCTCTTTGTCCCCCCCACAGGCCAGAAGTCAGTTCAAAAGTCGATCAACTGCCAACAATGTGTCCATTCTGGTGCCAGTCCCCAGTGACGCTGACTCACCCAAGTTCAAGACGAGCACTGGCAGCGCCAAATGGCTCCCTGAGAAGAATGTGGTGCAGTGGAACATCAAGTCCTTCCCTGTTAGTACCATAGCAACAAATGTCTCTATTCAGAATATGTTTAAATCTCTCATATTGAAAAATATTCCCCCATCAAAACATAGCTAAATATGTGTGTTTATTTTGTTATTATTATTATTATTATTATTATTTTAACAATGGCAATGTCAAATGTTATACAAGTCTCAAGTAGTGTAGTCACAATTCTTAAATTAAAACTTTATTTCGATACTAAGGAAAAGGCAAAATTTTCTATACTTTTTTAGTATTATAATTATGAAATGGTTCCTAAGTATTTTTTTGGTTTTTTGAGTTAGTTTTAGTTATGATGGCCTGCTTTTTTCTTTTAAAAAAAAATCTGTTAAAAGTACTACTTTTGGTCATTTGGGTCAATTCAGGAAACCTGAGGGCCAATAAATACTGGTCCGAGGGCTGCATTTGGTTTGGACACCAGTGACATAGGGCTATCCATGTCCATTTTACACTTTTGTCCTTGGATTAGAGTCCTGCACGGGTCCATTTTTGGAGACCTGCACCCGCACACATGCGCAGTACAGCCCCGCACCCGTCTGTTAACCTGTGATTTTACCAAAGTTAAACCCGCACCCACCCGGACCTGTTAACATTCCACCCCTTACCTGCCCTTGTCCGTGATAAATCACATACAGATTAAAAGCATTCTAACTGAAGCGTTCATCAGAATACAAATTGAAAAGTTATTACTTCAACAATTACAATCACGAAATGAAATGAAACGGATACGCTTTCTTCACTATAAATACAAATTCACAGACGCAACTTTACTGTCATCACTACACAGGCATTATTTATTGAGCAGAAGAAACATTGATCAAGATGTCGGACTTTTAAACCACAGACTGAACCCAGGACTAACCCAGGACTAACCCAGGACTAAACCAGGACTAACCCTGGACTAACCCTGGACTAACCCAGGATTAAACCAGGACTAAACCAGGACTAAACCAGGACTAAACCAGGACTAAACCAGGTGTGATTCCAGGACTGAATCAGGGGGACTAAACCAGGACTGAACAAGGACTAAACCAGGACTAAACCAGGACTAAACCAGAACTGAACCAGAACTGAACCAGAACTGAACCAGAACTGAACCAGGACTCACTGTCGGGACGTGCTCGGAGGTGCGCCCGTGTAGACTGTCGGGTGACTGCAGGCGAAGGGACTGGCACAGAGCTCTGCACCGCACGGAGGTAAGCGGAGCCGATGCCCAATTGCGCTTTGCGGACACCCTGCTCCACGGACTCAGGGTTCTCTCTCTCTCTCTTAAGTCCAAGATTAGTCCTGGGGTAGTCCTGATTCAGTCCTGGTCCGCCCATTTGTAATTACTACCCCCATTACCCACCTGTAAAATTCCAGAACATTAAAACCCATCCTTTTCAGCAACCATTTGCCCGTACCCGTTGGGTACCCAACCCGGTGCAGGACTCTGCCTTGGATGTTGACGCCTATATCAGTCATATTCATTGTTGTAAATTGTGACTACCCAGCCATGACTAACTAGTGCAAAAATGATCTGAACTAGCCTGAAATATAGAGTGTGGAATCTTTAAGGCAGTTTAATGCTTGAGAGTAATTATCTTGTTTCACTGCTATCTGAATTTTGAGGCAAGCAGCCGTGCTTATGCCACATCTTATCTCAGCGCAAAAGACTCTGAAAATGGAGTAGTGTTTTGAGTGTCGCAGATATAAGACAGCGGCTATTTATCATGTTCTCATCGACCCCACACACACACGCACACACACGCACACACACACACGCGCACACACTCCTGATAGCAACCTATACTGTCGTCAACGTCTTAGCTATCTTCAAAAAAACATGTCACACATTAATTCAGTTGATGTTTCTTTTATCTGTCAAGCTTGGGTATCTCCAGAGCTATTCATTATACCTCTTAGCTGTCAAGTAGGGTTTACGATAGCCATTATCATCCAGGCTGGGCAGCAGTTTTCCTCTGTCACCGTCAACCTTTGAACACTGGAATTACGTATTCTCACAGGGTGCATGCTTTTAATAGAGGGTTGTAGTGGTTGACAGACACAAGCATTGTTAAAACTTTTAAGGCTATTCCTGGAACAGTTCATCTCTGATTTTAAAGATTTTACACATATAAAATAAGATTCGATAAAATACAGAGATAGACTTTCTGGTCTATCCTGCAATGAAATATTAATTTGGGAAAGTACCAGGTCAATAGTTACCAGTCAAGAACTCCCTATAGCCCCAGGGACAGGGAAATTTAATATATTTTATTTATTTAACTTGGCTTTTTAATTATAGAGCCCATAAAACATTTTTTACTGTTTATTTATTTTAGTGTTTTTGTTTTTTCATGTGACTTTCATGTGACTAGGTAATTTTAGCACTAAAAAGCTAATACCTTGCAGCTAATGTTTTTAACCAATTTACCAGTCAGATTTATGGATGGGTGACCCCACAGTAAGAAAGCATATTTTTCAGTGTATTTTTAAGTAAAACACATCTAATTTAAAAAAAAAAAAAAAAAAAACTTGATAAAATTAAAAAGAAAATAGGTTCAAGATAAGTGATAAGTTTAATGTCATTGTGTTGAACATTCCAGGCAAAGCAATAACATCGCTATAGTAACAAGCAGGAGACTATCACATGACTAGAAAAGATACATACTATACCTTTAAGGTAATAAATAAAATTACAATCATACGGTGGCTAGCATTGCTTCGTAAAAAATTATAATATTTTATAATAACATGTCTAGTTGCTGTTGTTTGTTCAGTACTGATTATAATACCTGTTATAAAGCAAATGTACCTCACAAACTTTATTTACACACAAGATGGGAGATCTATAATGATCAACCACTTCATCATAATTAAATTGATACTGACGTTTTAAAGTCTGCCATGGCACTGCTATCTTATTTACCTTCATATCACCTCAAGGAAGAAAAACATTGATATTATCATATGATCCGATCTCTATGGCTTTGACCCATGTCAGTATATGATTTACCAGATACTATAGCTTATTTTCTGGTTGTTTATGCTTTGTTTGTACAGGGTGGTAAAGAATACATGATGCGTGCCCACTTTGGCCTGCCCAGTGTGGAGGGTGACGAGATGGAATCCAAGAGACCCATCACTGTTAACTTTGAGATCCCATATTTTACTGTTTCTGGCATACAGGTACTGCACAATGTTTGTATACTCCCCTTGTTTAACTATAAAAGGCTGGTGTTTTACATGGCAGTGAGAAAGCAAATATTAGACTCAATGGTTAACCTATTAAGTCTTTCTTCTTCAACCGGGAAGTACCAACAGTTTACAAAAGGTTTTAGTTCAAGATCACCTCGCCCGAAATGAGTTAGATCAAATTTTGCTCAAGTCTCATAAAACTGAAATATAACTGGCCATAGGGACAGCCAGATCATGGAAGATGAAATTTATGAGACTTTAGTTAATATCAAATCTGTCCAACAACAACAGAATTATGCCCTGTGTTTGGATATGGAGTGCATGGGTCCCCAACAACCAGTCCGGGGTCCAAAACCAAGCATCGGGCCATCTGGTACTGAGAAAAATATGATTCATCTTTTTATAGGCCTTTTTAATTATTATATCGACTTATCATTCAGTATATGAAAGCTGGAACAATATATTTTGGGGCTCAATTTTCATTGTGCATACATTTTCTTAGTAAAAGTGGGGAGGATTTTTGTTGTAATATGCTAAGATTTGAGCTGTAGAGGGTTGAAAAACTGACTTCTGTGGCTAATTATTGGTTCATTCTGCTGTTTATCTGTTGCAGCTCAGGCCTCTTAATGATACTGTCTATTTAAAACTGAATTACTGGGATTATCCTGCATTATTGTTACTGTGTCAGCGGCAGAAAGTAATTTCAACATGATCATTTATTGCAGTATATCTCTGTAGCAATATATGAAGCTTCAAAATTTGTTACTGTGACAGGCTATATCTATATCTATATCTATATCTATATCTCCTGTTAGTCTACTGTCATATTTACTCTGAATATATAGTGCAAATTAACCTAAACAGCAAACATGATTATATATATTTTTTCAAACTATGGATAAGAGTTTTATAACATTTTGTGGAGTAATTACTGTCCCTGCCCCCCTCCACCGATCCCGCAAAAAAGTGTTTGTTTATTATTGTTCATTATGAGAGAAAAAAGGTTGGAGACCACTGCAGAATACTATAATGTTGTCACTATACTAAAATTCAGGGACTGCAGCTGGAAACTAGCTGTTTAGCTCTAATCTGGTGTGGAACATCTCTGTTTTTTTATGAGCTTAATGTCTCTGTACATTGTCCCTTCAAATAAACACTAAACTAAACAAAAATTTCTATTCTTGACTTGCCTAAGATACCACCTTGAAAATACAAACATAGAGCAATTGGATTTTTAAAACAACACATCCTTTTAGTATTACCATGTGGTCTTTTATTGGCTCAGACTTTTTCTAAACCTATTTAGGAAAGGTGAAATTTAATCTGTTTGTGCCAACAATATGTGTTAAAGTAGTATAGTAGTATATTCGTAGTATAGTGTAATACAGTTGGGTAAATTAGTATTTAGTTTTTATTTTAGTTTTAGTATCCAGTATATCATTATCATCGACAATCCTAATACAACATCATTGTAATATAGGGATTAGTGTATAGTCTACCTTTAATTGTGTTGGTGAAAGGTGCAATGTGTAACTTTTTGGTTGAAGGGCCACGTTTGCTTGTTTCTATGGATATGTCATTGCTCCGCCTCGAATGTTCCACAGTATGATAATAAACTGCTCTACCTTACTTTTATAAAATTACAAGTACGGAGAAAAGCATTTGATGTACCCTTCACCAGAAAAGTTACACAATGCACCTTTAAGCTGTGTACCCTAGCTGGCCCTTCTATATTTATGAATGACCCACAGCGCTACTCTGCTTCTGTACTGTATTTAATTTGTACTGAATTGGCTGTGACAGATGATCTTATTTTTGCTGTGTAGGTGAGATACCTCAAGATCATAGAGAAGAGTGGTTACCAGGCGTTACCGTGGGTGCGCTACATCACACAAAGTGGAGGTGAGAATGCGAGCTCTCTAATATATTCCCTGTAGCATCCTTTTTAAACTGAAATTATTTAAAATGATCAAATGTTGTTGGCGCTGTAGTTTACACTTGCAAAGTTTGTGCCATCACTTAGAAGGGTTTGGTCTGTGTCTCTTTTTGCTAGGGCTGCAAAATGTATTGAAAATATTGATATAGCAGTTTTGGCTAATGCTTTAACTGTTAAACTGAAAATAAATATGTCACGATAGCCGGAAATTCTTAAAGTAAAAGAAGTAAAAACAATGTTTATTATGTTGTTGTCATCAAAACCTGGTGTTATATTTTGTTCCATTCACAAATGTTTAACACAATAATTCTGCATATATTGGCTGAGTTCTCCTCTCAAACAGTAAACACTCTGTTCCACTTTGTGATGTCATGTGGTAATACAGTATGAGCTCCATACACTTTCACTAGAATCATTTGGAAAATTTCAGACCTGGAATTTCAAATCTCTACTAAACTAAAGGTAAAACTATTTGACTATATGACTATTGTGTCACGACATCACAAGGTAGAACAGAGCATTATGAGCTTTGGTGATGTAGACAGACTAATAATAAAGGATTACTCAAACATCAAACCACAACTCCAGGTATGTTTTTGATGAGGTAACAGCATTATAACATGACTTAAAGCTCACAATACAATAATTCTGCATAATAAAGGACCTTTAATGATTTCCTTATTAAGTCTTACTTTAGCCTTGTTGTGGTCTCTGTTGTTAGTCTCTGTCAAGTTTTATTTTGACACACACAGTTTGACTAGTAAATTGAAAAGCTCACAATGATATCTTTATCACAAACTGAACATATTACAGTACATCTAAACTTTTCTGTATAGAGTAGCCATAATTTTAGGTGCTGCTGAATCCATAAGAACTTAAGCTCTGACCTACCCATCTGTCCTACTCCAGCCTCGTTTTATAGCTTATAGGTTCACCTCAACTTTTAATTACCTCATTAAGATTTTTGCCTTGAAAGGTCAAGGTCACCGCACACTGCCATCTAGGATAAAGCTCAGTATTTAATTATGTGGGGGATTTAACACTGGAGTCTATTAGGATCAAAAGATAACATCCATTTGTTTTCAAAGGGTTGACCACCAAACACAGCTTTTAAAGATAGTACACTAATGCAGGTGCTGTCTTTACTGTGAATTACTATTTAAAGGGCCCATATTACGCTACTTTCTCATCTATGTTGTAATGTTGTTTCCTCATCAAAAACATACCTGGAGTTGTTTTATTTTTCATTCGCACATGTTGAACACACAAATCCCGCATATTTCGGCTGAGTTCTTCCCTCAGATAGAAAACACACTCTTCCATCTTGTGATGTCATGCGGTAATACATGAAATGCTCCACTGTGTTTTCAAACGCCATACACTTTTATTAGAATCATTTGGATAATTTCAGTCCTGGAAATCTCTACAGAATGAAAGTTAAAAAGTAGCTTTTAACTTTAAAACTACTACTTCATGACATCACAAGGTAGAACAGAGCATTTGGAGCATTTGGAGATGTAGACAAAACTAATAATAAAGGATTACTCAAATGTGTGGATGAAACAAACTACAACTTGAGGTATGTTTTTGAGGAGGTAACAGCATTCTAACATGGCTTAAAGCTCACAGGAGTAAATTTTGTGTAATATAGCACCTTTAATTTTAACAAACTATTAAATCATTCCTACTAGAGTCTTATTTGGACTACTCTGGCATATTGGCAATTTCAGAAACCTCCCTCCTACCAGTTTAGTGGAGCTACTCAGCAGACTAGACTAGCACACACAACATACCTGCTGTGTGACTGACTCAGATATTGCAGGGATAACGCCTGGTCAGCACTGGAGTCAGGCAAAAATATAGTAGACATGACACAGTGTGTAGTGGATGGGATGAAGTGGGTAGGGAATAGGGGGTTATGCTGATCAAAGTGATTTTTTTAAATTATTCCAATAACATTTATTTATTTTATTTTTTTTTAAACCCAGTAATGTGCTAAAACGTGTCTTGGTTTAGGGTCAGATACCACAAAAATGTGAATGGACAAGTGCAAAATGATTACCAAAGCATTTTCAAAAGATTACTCTGTTAGTTTGTACTTTTAGATAGTTTTCAAATTATATTTTGGAATTACTGACAGTCAGAATGTAACACAAAATCCTAGATCCTGGGTGGAGACCATCTTCCAGACCAATGTGTTCTATGTAAATATTCTATGTAAAATGCACAATGAAGATTTATTAACGCACTAGGCTCTTTTAAACTGTGTACCCCCAATGGACCCCCAGTCCATTGCCCCTATAAGCAATATATGAACTCGATATTCTGATTTTACATGTCTTCAAAACAACTATTTTTATATAATTTTGTAGACAGTGTACCTCTTAATTATTATCCACTAGAGAATGCAAACTTCCAAATGATTCAAATCAGTGGATATGAAATTTTGTATTAAAGTAAGCTATTCTATATGTGGTCCATGTGTAATATAAGGACTATCTTTGGAATTCTTTAAGAAAACCATGTTTGAATTTTCTGCTGATTCCAAATACAATAGTAGGATTATGTCACACTAGAATGAGAATACCAGAGAAGACTTTCCTGGAGGAGCCCTGTCTGAATGCGTACGTGTCACTATTACGTGCGTGACCTACGAGTGAACTGGTCCCTGCAGTGTCCATCATCTCCATTAATAGATGTTTTTTGCAACTTTTTGACCGTTTCTAATTATCTCATAACCAGGGGTGTAGCAGGAAGGTCTGGCCCTTTGTAACAGATGTGAAAAATGCAGATTACAGACTTTGTGATGACCCCTCCCTGCACGAGGCCATAGGTTAACAAATACCCTTTAAACCAGCCCTGTCGTCACTATAGTCGATATTCTGATTTCGTGAGTTTTCAGAACAACTATTTTGATCTTCAAGACAGTATACCTCTTACCTCTACTAGAGAGCTCCTGAATTATTCAAATTAGGAAGAAACCTAGACTGTATATATAAATGGACATAACTAAACTACTAGCTGTTGCATTCTAAATAGGGGCATTTCAACTCTTTAAATGCTCTACTTGATCCCGGGGGTTTTATTTAGCTATTTTGTTTGTAAATAAATTCCTATTCCTACTATAGACCTGGCTCCATGTTTGCTACTATAACTGTCAGCCTCGATGAGCTTCATTTGACTAGAGACAAATGCTATACAGTCGATGGGAAGAAATGATATGAAATAGTGTATTTACGCTAGCTATTGTAAATGTTGACTGTATCTCTTAAAGTAAAAGTTTCCAGCTTATACAGTAGTAGGGTTAGAATGAGAATACCAGAGAAGACTTTCCTGGAGGAGCCCTGTCTGAATGTGTGTGAGTCACTATTACGTGCGTGTCCTACGTGAACTGGTCCGTGCACTATCCATCATCTCCATTAGCTGGCGCTGTCTGCCCCTGAGCTTTGTCCTCGGGGGGCTTTAAATGACACCACGCTGGATGCCAGGAGGAGGAGAACTGCACAAGCCTGCGAGCTCTGCCTTATCATTTCTTATTCAGACCTGGAGCTAGAAGCAGTTTAGGTCTCCAGACTCCAGTTACAGCGGGGAGCACCTGTAGTGTGGTGATTCTGCCTCTGCCTGAGAGAGATCCCATTTGTGAGACAGCTGGCACACACCACTGTCGCCTCTGGTTTGACTTTCTCCACCATCTGATGACAGAAAAGAGGGAGGGGAGTGTGTGGTGGGAAACAGTGGGAGGCATTTTGAGGTTTTGTTGTTTTGTTTTGTGTTGGAATGTTTCTTCTAAAATTTCTAACTTAACTAGATGAACATCACGGACCAATTAAGGATGTACCTTAGAGTATCTCTTGATGAAAGTGAGAGATGTATCAAAAATGGTATAATATAGAGATGGTTGTTGTGGACATATGCAGTGTTAAGTACAGTATATTGTCTATAATAACAATATAACAAACTTTATATTATTTCAAACAAGTGTAGGTGATATTTCTACAATTTTCTGGTCACCGGTGAGTCTCCCAGTTTTCAAGTGACCGTGATTGACGGGTGGATTAGCCAATCGGGGGCACGCATGGTCTGGAAAAAGGGGAAAAAAATATCACGCCGCTGAAAAACATCTCCGATTTCTGCTGAATCAATGAGCAAATTTCAACTGTAAATGATAGGTGACCAGTGAGCTCCTTCGTTTCACATGCATCACTGAAAAAAAAAAAAGAAACTGACTGCACTATCACGTTTAGAAGTGCTTCAGACTGGAAGGTGTGGGGATCAGTCTGTAAAAAAAAGAAAATACAGAGAGATATTATCCTAGATTTACAAGGTGAGGCTGGCTTTAGCGTCAGCAAAATAAATGGGCGAGACTGAAAATAAATGGTCCATGATATTGAAACTCATACACATACAGTATATTGTCTCATTATCGTCCAAAGTAATACTGAGATATTAGTTATTGTTTTTTTCAAGAACATGTTTTAATTTCTATCTATGGTCCAAAGAAGCCACACTAGTTTACATGTGACTCGACATGTTTGGAGACCTCTTGAAACCACTTGCATTAGACAGGAGCTAATAATAATAATAATGCATTGGATTTCTATAGCATCTTTCAAGACACCCAAAGCACTTACTAATGTTGTGCTTGATTGGTGTAATTCAGTGTTTGAGTGGTAAACACCTGAACAACCCTTTGAAGTATAGAGCCTATTCACATGAATACAAAGATCATAATTATATTTATAGGACTGTGACATAGGCTTGTCACGATAACAACATTTTGAAGTATGATACATTGTTGAAGAAAATATAGACGGGAAACTCCTACTGAAACTAACTTATGACATTGACACACAAACCCTACAGCAGGGTTATCCCAAAAACTATTTTAAATGTACAATATACTTAAAGGTGCACTATGTAACTTTTTGGTTGGTCCGTCACCTGCTTGTTTCTATGGATATGTCATAGCTCTGCCTGGAATGTTCCACAGTATGATATTAAACCACTCTACCTTACATTTATTCATTTACAGGTGGTTTTATAGCTCAAAAATAACACAAGAACAAGAATTCTGACTGTGAGCGGGGTTGCCTCTCCACAGATCTGACCTGCAACTTGGTCTGGTTTGGTCTCTATGAAGATAGAAATGTTTAATACCAGACTGTGAAACATTCCAGATTAAGCAATAACATCTTAAGCATTTAACGGACGTTCTACCAGAAATGTTACACAATGCACACTTAAACTAAAACACAAACTGCAAAGAATAAATAGCAGAATTAATCACTTTAGTAGTTAGTGTGTATCTATAATGAGCCACAGAAGTTATTTATTCAACCCTCCACAGCTCAAATCTGATCATAGTATAAACAAATACCAAAAAGTTTCTCGCTAAGTTCTAAGAAAAAGTACCCACGATAAATACTGACCCCCAAAATGTATTGTGCCATCTAACATATATTGCCACGTAAGTCAATATAGCAATTATCGTGACGGGCCTAGTGATTCAGGCTTGTTATGAATTGAACTCTTGCAGAGACAGTACAGTCACTTTTAGACATTGGAGCATAGCCAGGATTTAAGCAAAAAAAAAAAAAAAAGTTTGATATGAGCCACGTAGCCTAGAAATGAACCTGCCGCTATGCTATCCATTCTGTCCATTACTGCGCTGTGTCAGGTGAGAGGCATTGGCTGCGCGGGCGGATTGATGCCACCGGATGCCAGGAGGCTCCCGGGGTATCGCCAAGGTTACTATGAGCTGCCTGTAGAGTCAGCAGAGGAGGAGGAGGAGGAGGAGGGGTATGAGGAAGAGGCCAGACTGAAAATAAGAGTGATGAAGTTAGGTGGAGTGGAGAGAAAGCTATCACCTTTCTCTTATTGTTCCCATCAGCAGCTCAGACAGAGGGGGGAGAGAGAGAGATAGAAATAGAGAAAGGGGGAGAGAGAGAGAAAGATAGATGGATAGATAGATGGATAGAGAGATAGTGAGAGAAAGAGTGAGATAGACAGAGCAATAGGTAGATGGATAGTGAGAGAGCTAGAGAAAAAGAGAGAGACAGACATAAAGAGAAAGGGCAAGATAGAGAGAGATAGATAGATAAAGAGATAGAGTAGGGGAGGGGGTCTCATTTCACTTGGCACTACGCTAATAGACATGCTCACTCTGATAAAACAATACCCATATCACAAAGACTCCACTGACTTATTAATGAGTGATGAACAGGCATTTAGTACTTGTATAGTACATTTGTAAGCCAAGACTGTACTGTGCAGTTAGAGCAGTATGTGATGGCAACAATATTAAGCAGCTCTTTATTCAAACATTTGTGCAGAGTCGGAATAATAATGGGAAATAGCAAGTGAAATATAGATGTTTAATTTGGCTGGTTGATTTCATTTTTCTCCTTTTTGTAGGCATGCACCAATCAGATATTGATATCTAATATTGTCACTGATACTGAAAAATTTGCAGGATCAGATATCAGTTTCCAAATACTGGTTCAGTCGATATCCTGGTTGGAAATATAGATTGATGCAATAAGACAAAGCTGTTCTGTACTTATAGAGATAAATAACTGCTGCATAGCACATTTGGAGTAGTCTTGTTTTATTTTGTTTTAGTCTTTGCTAGGGCTGAATGATCTATTGTTTGGGACCAAAAATCGCAATCTCAGACAACACGTCAAAGCCGCGTTGAGGTTTATACGCCGCAAAGTAATTTACCGCTACAACACGAGGAGGCTAGGATTTAAACCTGGCATTCATGTAAAATTTCAGACTCACCATCATCAGCACATCCTCTGTCACAGAAAGAACACCTATGTTCCACTGAGTTGTGTCCTTTAGTCTGACAGAAGTGAGCAGTTTTTTGTTTTTTTTTCCAGTGCTTACAGTTGATGAAAATTAGCCATGTGGTTTTAAGTTTTGTTTCTGTAAAAAGTAAATAAATGTGCACAAAGCTGCATTAAACACATTATTACTCAATGTATACTGAAAGAAAGGAAAGCGGAGTACAGGAAATGTATGTAGAGTGGTGGCAGAGAGGACCAATCACAGCCCTTATTATCTGCGTCATTTTGATCGTAAATTGGGCTTTACGGTCCAGCGTCAAATTATCAGTGCAGGACTCTGGTATGATGTAAGTTTCTGTGATGTTTGCAAATGTTCATGTGCACTGAAAAAAAAATTGTGGATGAAATCGAAATTGCAATATCTGCCAGAAAAATCGCAATTCAATTTTTTCTAAAATCATTCAGCCCTAGTCTTTGCATTGGTTGTTGTTGGATATTGACAGATGCTAAAAGCTGTAGTATAGAAATCAGTATCAGAACTGAAAAAGCTGGATCAGTGATTCCCTAGCTTTTTGTGGTCTATTCTTTGAAAGTTTCTGGTTTTACTGCTTTAGAACCAGTGAGATTAAGCATCTGAGCATTTATTTGTTTTCTGTTCCATATAGAGTACTGTATTGTTTTGACCTGTCTCTGTGCAGCACTACAGGTAGATTAGCCAATCATGGACTTCAATCCAATTATGCACTTTGGAAATAAAGCTGATTATTTGTTTTTCCTTCTTCCAATTGCATGCAGACAGTTACTCGTACCTTTTTTACTCTTGAGTAAGTTGAGTTTCTTCAAATTCTTGCTTCATGCTTTCTTCAAATTCATGCTGTTACCATCCTCTCAGCCTTCGGAGAACTCGTATAACCTTAAAGGATGTCTGATATCACAAAGCCCAAATTGGCATAAAAAGATGTTTATACCAACCAAGCCGTGCAAAAGAGCTTGCACAGTATTTCTAATGGGCAATGAGGGAGCCAAAGCCGCTTCCAGGTATTGTTTCAACAGCTCCACACTTGAGCAAACCTCTGTGTGGAATTTCAATGTGCTCAATCTCTGTAAATTGATTTAGTGGAGCGGTGCAGGGGCCAGTATTAGTGTGAATCTTGTTTGGGGAATTAATAGGGCTCTTATTGGCAGTGATGCGATGTGCGGAGGTGATGAGGGCAGTTCTTCTGTGTGTGTTAATGCTTCGCTGTTTTCTTGGCAGATTACCAACTCCGGACGAACTAAAGGGCACGGATCTGCTAGTCCAATGGATATTTTCAGTTTCTCCGACTCCACTGTCTGCAGCCAGAACAGAGGGCACGTGGACAAATGCCAAATGTGTTCCAGCAAAAGTCCAGACCAGAGAGGAGACATCGTTGCTTCCTCAAAGACAAATTCGCCTCAAAGGGAACATGTAAAGGAGGTTGAAGACTTAAAGAGGCGTGTAATGTGTAATCTTATCACTGTGATTTTTGGCATTTTTTATCATGTGCGTAATTGTTATTGTGTGAAGCGAATACTGTATTGGGGTAAGCAGTGGATAGCTAGTATATAAGATGTCAAATTTGTCAGAGTGACGTCCATATTTTGGCTAAAAGAAGAGTATCAGACCAAAAGAAAATAATGTTTACAGCTAATGAAATAATTAATATTGGAACTAAATTTTTTTAAATAATATAATTTGTTTTTTAAAGTGCCGTCCAGATTTCCTTTTCACAGTTTTGTCTCCAGGAAAGCTTTACTTTTTTCTTCATTCCTAAATAAACATTAATAAATAAACCATTCCAGCTTTAAAGGCGCCCTATGTAACTTTTCGATTTTTCTCAATGGTAAAGTTACTGATTTCATAGGTTATTCAAGGTTTCATAGTACAGCATTAAACTATCTTTTTAGTGAGAAATGGGATGCTACCTGGCCAAGTTACAAGTCAGATGTGTGGAGAGGAGACCCTGCTCACAATAAGAACGCAGAATTTTTAGCAACTATAATTGAATGCAAGATGCAAATGGATACGCTTAATGCCATACTGTGGAACATTACAGGCGAAGCAACAACAGCTCAATGAAGCAGACTGCAGATCACCCTAAAAAAAGTAACATATTGTAGCTCACCTTTAACTACCACATTTCTATTGTATTATATTTTTACATGCACACTTTATGACTAACCCTGCCAACCGTCTCAAAATCTGCCAGGTGGAATTTCTTACACTCTCTTCCTTGTTCTGTTTGAATAATACATTGGTTGCCTTAAAAATCTCCTATCTCATCAACTCAGCACTGTGAACTCAATCCACCAGTCTTCTGAAAGCTACACCGCTGACTAGATCAATGATTAATAAGGCACAATATTGTCTGAGGCTCTGGCAACGCAACATAATACGACCTCCCCTCTCCCACAGGGCTTGTAACCTTGTCCATGCATTCCCAATCAGCTTGTAACTTTGAGGTAGAGACTAAAGGAACGAGCCGGGCTGAAAACATTTGGTATTTTCTTCTGTTGAATTGCTGTTCTTGCAGGTTTTATGGCGAAGGACGAATAGTTGGAGATGGAGAATTGGAAAGTAATTGGTAACACTTTATAATGACTACACTTATTTATGCCTTAAAAAGTATAAACAAAGGCTTAAATCATAATGTCCACTCTATTCAGATATAGTCCCCTGACCTATTAAAGTTAAAGTTGCATTGTGTAACTTTTCTGGTGGAGGGTCCTTCGAATTGGCCAGGATGACAGCACCTCCCAGTTTCATTTCTCTCCAGTGACTAGGTCAGGAATCAGAATACACTAGATGGTTTGCAAGAACCCCGGAAGTGCAAGTTCAGGCACCAGTCAATCAGTGAAGAGCCATACATTCTGTGTTGGTTCCCGAGATTGAGGATTTAAAGCCAGAACAAAGAGAATGTTTGGTGAATTTTATCAAGGGTAAAGACGTTATTGCCCTTCTTCCTACAGGATTTGGGAAAAACTTAATATACCAGTTAGCACCGTTAGCAGCACATTACTACCCCACGACCAAATAGCAGCTATTGGTTAAATTTAAAAAAGTATCCGCCCACCCTCGAGCAAGCAAATCCTAATGCTGCGAGGTCAGGCAGTTTCCACGAAGTGAAACCGGATGATCGGGCTACCTTCAAATGCTTTTCTCCTTGGAAATGTGATGGCTTTGTCTGAAATGTTTTACAGTATGGCATTAAACCTTTCTACCTTCATGGAGACCAAACCAGACCAAGTTATAGATCAGATCTATGGAGAGGCGACCCCTTTCACAGTCAGAATGCCTGTTTTTTTTAGGTATTTTTGAGCTGTAAAACCAACTGTAATTGAATAAATGTAAGAGAGAGCTGTTTAATGTCATACTGTGGAACATTCCAGGCAGAGCAATGATATCTCCATGGAAACTAGTAGGTGACCAACCCTCCACCAGAAAAGTTACACAATGCACCTTTAAGTAGTTACAAAGCCTGATTCATTCTTAATAAACTTGTTCATACATTTTTTCATTATGATTGATGTTTATGATTTACGAAGGCCAATTAAAGGTGCATTCTGTAATTTTTTATTTTTTTGGTGTGTGGTCTGCCAACTGCTTGTATCTATGGAGACATTACTGCTTTGTCTTGAATGTTCCACAGAATGGCATTAAACTGATCCATTCACTTGCCAACGCTTTTACTGCATTCTTACATTCTTACTGTAAGCAGGGTCACCTCTCCTCAGATCTGACTTGTAATTTGCCCTTGTGGTGTCCCGATGGAGATAGATACAGTATATTTAATGCCATATTGCTGAACACTCCAGACAAAGCAAATAAGAAAGCAAAGCAAAGAAAGCAAAGCATCTCCACGGAGACAGCAAATGTTCCACTAGAAAGTTACATAATGCACCTTTAAAGTGTAGTTATTATGAAGTGGTATCAAGTAATTAAATGTTTTTTTGGGTTTTTTGCTTTGGGAATATTTAAACTTGTTTTTCTATTTCAAAAGGCCAACCTCTACTAGTATTTTTTTCCCATCTTTGTTAAGCATGCATTGCACCGCTCATTTCAACAGCACTGCCAACAAACAAAAACATGTAGAGAATTTATAGTGGCAACCAAACTATAAATTCTCATGTACAATCAGTTATATCTTGCGAGGAGGCGTTCTTTGATCAATGTGGGTTTTTAAATAATAATATGTAATGTGTTAATTTATCAACTTGTTTTGTCTTATAGGATTCATAGGGATATATTTGGAAATAAAGGTTTTGTATCTTCTTGTATATTCCTGTCTCTGAGTATACGCCCATCTATCATAAGACTAATAGAATGTTTTGTGCAATTATGAATGCATAGTATGAAATAATAGGCATATTTTAACCTTTTTGGAGATAGTGTCGGCATTTTAAAGGTTAGACATTTTTCAGACGTAATTGTGTTTATGCGCAGCTCAAAAATGATTTAACAACACCTTAAATGTCAGCTATGGACAATGTGCTTTATATGATAATGACAGCGGAGGGGAGGAATGCTGAAAAGACTCATAATTTAATTCATTCATCTTTTGCTTGTTTACAGTAAGGCTGCAGGTGACAGGCGCTATCTGTATGAGTTTTTAATTTAGCATAGATACAAACATTTTCCATCGCTCATTTTGAAGTAAGCAAGCAGTCAGTTCTTTCTTAAGATAAAGGTGCACTGTGTAACTTTTTTGTGAATGGTATGCCACATTCTTGTTTCCATGGAGATGCTGTCACTTTTGTAATGTTACACAGTGCGACATTAAACTTATTGATCTTCATGGAGACAAGCAGGTGGCATAACAAGCCCAAGTTACTGGTCAGATCTGTGGAGAGTGGAGAATACATGTTTTTCAGGGTATTTTTTAATCCATATATCATTTGCTTATTTGTTTTTCAATATAAATCCAAAAATAAGAAAATGAGAAAAAACGACTATTTTCTTCATTATTTGTCTCCAAACCCAAAATAAATAAAAAAACAGATAACGATTTGTTTTTTTGATTTTGTGTTTAAATGAATAATGGAAAAAACGGATAACGGTCGTTTCCCATTTTCGTGACTTAAACTGACATGCCGAACTTTTGTGTCACATACGGACTGAACCAGGACTAAACTAGACTAAACGTGGACTAAACCAGGTCTGGGACTGAGATCGGGACTGACTGGGACCAGACCAGAACTGAGACCAGGACTGAGACCATAACTGAGGCCGGGACCAGACCATGGTTGAGACTGGGACTGAGACTGGGATTAGACCAGGACTAAAAACGGTTTACTTTAGTCCTGGTTCAGTCCTGGTTCAGTCCATATGCAGTGCAAAAGTCTGGCATCGCAGTTTAAATCACGAAAACGGGAAATGGCTGTTATCCATTTTTTCCATTATTCATTTTTACATAAAATGGAAAACTGAAAAAACAAACCGTTATCTGTTTTTTCATTTTGGTTTTGGAGACAAATAATGAAGAAAATAATTGTGTTTTTTTTCCATTTTCTTATTTTTGGTGTTATATTGAAAAACAAATGAACAAATGATACCTAGATTTTTTCAAGCAAAAAAAACAAAAACGTCTGTAATTGGAAAAAACAAGATGGATTAGTTTAATACCATACTGTGGAACATTTCTGGTAAAGCAATAACATCATGGAGACAATGAAGTCAAGTGCGGACCCCCACCAGAAAAAAATGCCCCTTTTAAAAGTTATTGTGATTACTTCATTTTGTAAAAACTAGTACACTTTTGAAACTTTGCTCAAAAACAAAACCTTTTAAATCATTATGTTGACCTCCCAAGTAAATGGGAGCACAGTTGTCCAAGTTTGCTGACTCCCTGCTAGGAGGTTGTGGGTTCCATCCTGGGGCTACTGTCTCTCTGAATAGACAGTACCACTGGCTAAAGCACCAACGCACTATTGAACAGCCCATTACTAATCTCCCATAACCTTTCAATATTTTGCTTTCACACCCTGCAGACTTCTTTAGCAAAAAACCCTCTCTATCTGCACCCTCTCTCTCTCACTTCATAGATGAACCTGTCTCCTCTCCGCTCGGCACACCTCCGAGCTGTCATACCGGAGCTGAAAACTCATCATTAAGGGTCAGACGAACAGATCCATACGAGGCTGGATTACACGATTCCTGCGCGTCGAGTGAAAAGTGCCGAGGTGCTAGTCCATGCCAGCCCCTGCAGCCGTCCCGGAGCCTTGTGCTTTGTGCTCCGGCCCGACTGTCCATCATCGCCCCAACAATGGTTAACTGTGTGACCCCCACTACGTCTCCAGGCGATAGCGGTGGTGTGCGCAGCCTGATAAAAAGCGCCTCACATCCACCATAGTCCGGAATGAGACACAATGTAAAAGAGCTGCTTTCTTTAGCCCATTCTGTGAACTGGCGGACTGGAGGATTCAAAGGCGAGGCGCAGTTTGGGACCTGAATGACCCCGGCTTGTCACCACATTTGGCACGCGTTGTTCTAGTGTCGTAAGTTCAGTATTCACAAGGGAATAGGGAAATCTGAAAGCACAATTTGTATTCAAGAACTGACGAGAAACGAGTGTGGCACGACAAAATTTGAATACATAAAGTTTGAAGCAATTGAACAGCTGAATTTGTTGGTTATTTAGTCGTGCAACTAAATGTGATGTACTGTCTCGCGCTTTCAGTCAGTAAAATAATAAGTCAACAAAATCGTGCTTAGCAGCTTAAAGAGCTGACTATTTTCCAATCTGTGTTTTAAAGTTGTTTCCTTACCAAAAACATATCTGGAGTTGTGTTTGTTTCAGTCATACATGTTTAACACACAAATCCTATTCTTTTCTCAAACTCTAGTCCAACTTGTGATGTCATGTGGTAATACAGGAAGTGAGCCACAGTGTTTTTAAACTTCAACTCTTTCCAATCTTAATAAACAAAGAGTAAAAGCTTGCTGTTTACTTGAAAACTCACACTTCATGACATCACAATGTGGAACTGAGCATTTTGAGCTTTAGAAATGTAAATAAGACTAACAATGCAAACTTACTCAAACATGTGAATGAAACAAACCACTCCTGGTATGTTTTAATGAGGTACCAACCCTCTCATATGGTGTAAAGCAGTGTTTCCCAAAGTTTTTTTTTTTCTGGGGACCCATATTTTAAAAGTCACAAACCTTCGTGACCCAAGTCAATAGACATTATTTGTAAATCACAAAATCAAGATGGATTTGGCCATTATTGAACATTAATGAGGATATTTTATTGACTGACTGAGCGTGTCTCTCTGAACAATCAGTATTACTCAAGTTTTAAACAATGAAAAATAGTAACTGAACCAGCAATAAAAGGAATTCAGAAGTCGCCTATTTGGAGTCCATTTCTTTTTCTTTTCCACGTTCAATTGAACCAGCAATATTGGAACAAAACAGTCACTCATGTCTCAGAACTGTATTTTGCAGACCTACATGCAGATCGTGACAAGACGACCCCAAAAAATCTCTTGCGACCCACCTGAGGGTCACAAGCCAGTCAGTAGTTTAAAGTTCACAAGTCAATTTTGTGTGATATAGGACCTTTAATGGTAATTTTTCAGGTGGGAGTCCAGTCCACTTGCTTGTCTCATGAAGATGTTATTACATCTTCATCATCTCCAGTAACATAAGCAGCTGGAACCCAAAACGTTACGCAGTGCTTTTTTCTTTTTTTTTTTTTTTACTTCCAGCCCAGTAGTTCCAGTAGTTATGCTTTCTAAACTGCATCAAAGTTGGTGCTTTTCTTTATTCAGGACAGGTTTACTCGGAAATCATTATTTTGTCCAAATGAAGGCATTTCTTTCCCAGTGTTAAACCAGCTCGAAAAACCAAATCATTTCAGGTGAAACTTGGTTGAGACATCTTTGATAACCATTGCTTTAGCCAGTTCAAAACACATTTTGTAATAAGGCAGGATTGCAGAGTGATAAACCTACTATAAGCTTCTTAAATGAGTTGTCAGAATAGGTTGCAAGCAGCTGATGATGACAGTAACATATTCATGGATTTCGATTCCCTGTCATATGCCACATTTTTAGGACTTTTCCCCCTTCAAAATATAATATTTAGTTTTGTTGTTTATCTCTATAACAAGTCCTAACATAGGCCTGTCATAATAACAAATTTTCAAGTATGATGTATTGAACTAAATATAGAAGATGAATGATACTGAACCCAAACCATAAAGCAGAATTATCCCCCCATAAAATGTACAACAGTGTACAAGAGCTGCAATAACATGTGACTATAATGAGTCATAAAAGTTATATATTCAACCCTTTATAAGCTCAAATCTTGTCATAGAACAGAAAAATACCCCATTTTTCCCAAAGCTGACAAATTTTGAAACCTCTTTTGTTACCATTTTACTTGCCATCATTTCATCAAAGTTGTTGTTTTGCCCATTTCAGAGCTTTCGAACATAAAGGAGAAAGCACTTTAGTCCACTGAGAAATATGTGCTTCAGAACCATTTTATTGAGAGTTTACAATCAGCGCAGGTAGTGGTCAGTGCGTGGCCAAGGACACTTTGAGAGAACGGTACATTACTGCGAATGTGAGACCATCCTAAAGAAGAACAAAATGTTATCTTAGCGTCTACAGCTCCCATTCAAGAAAGTCCAGCCACAGTGAATGCTTCATCGCTCAACGAAAACATATGTGCTTTTATCTCTGTTTCTTTGATTAAATATTTAAAAGTACATCATAATTTCTTTTAGTGACAGTGTTGTAATCCTGGTTCCATTTGTTAGCGTTTTCTCTGACAGTTTATTGCTACATTTTCATTAGGAGGACATTAAAAAAATCCACTCTTTTGGCATTTGTCACACCAGCACTGATCAGGCAGACAGCACTGGCTCATGTGAAGATGGATCATGTTTTTATCCAATTTCTGTCAGTGTTTGGACACTGTTTGTTCTAATGATGTTTTAGGGATGTCAGGAGCAATGGAATTTAAACTTAATTGCGGTTACATGTTTCACAGAATAATTGCAAGGAATTTTACTAGGATATTTCAATCTAACTGATAAAAAAATATGACTAGTGTATTAGATAAGGAGCTCTTTGTCTAATTGTAAAATAAAATGTGAAGGCATGGTGGTAGTTCTGCCTCACAGCAAGATGCTTTGAGGTTCGGTTCCTAGACCACGTGGGGCATTTCCTGTTCCATCTTCCACACAAAAGCATGAGCAATAGGTATTTTTTTGAAAAGAAACCACTCTCCAACTGTATATAATTGAGCTCAAACCCCTACTGCCTCTCTAATTTTCTTGGTAGTTTATTTATTTTAAGCTTATCTTCCAGGAATCCATTTAAAACACTGTTACAATTCATGATTTTATTTTAAGACATGATATGAATTTCACGGGGACATTCTTCATTAAACGTGCACTGTGTAATTTTTCGAGTAGAGTCTAGAGTAGTCTAGAGTTCACTGCCTGCTTGTCTCCATGGAGATCAAGGTCAAGGTCAATTATGGCATGTATTCAACTATATTAAATCATGGGCTTTTAAATTTTAAAATATACCCTGCAAAACTGGAAACAGGCTTGCCTCTCCAAAGAGCTGACCTGTAACTTGACCAAGGGACATCATTTGCTTGTGTCCAGATGGAGATATACAAGTTTAAAGCCATATTGTGGGACACTCTAGGCCAGGGGTGTCAACCTCAAATTCACAGAGGCCAAAATTAAAAACTGGGACTAAGCTGTGGTTCAAACTAAATATTTATTGAAAAATATCAACATCTGCATGTTTTCACTTCTTTAGAGATATGTAATGTTAATCCTTTTCTTATTAAAATAAATGTTTAATAATAGTTTTGCTTAAACATTGAATCCAGAACAAGCATCATATAAAAAATAATAACAACATTTTAAATGAATAATGTCTCTATAGTGTATATTCTATCTGTAGCCAGTGGGCCAGGTCTAATACTTGATACTTGATTTGATATGATCTCGCCGGCCAAATATAATTCTATTGCGACCAAAATTTAGTCCCCGGGGCCTGAGTTTGACATGTCTGCTCTAGGCAAAGCAGTGGCATCTCTGTGAAGACAAACAGGTGGCGGGACCTCAAGTAGAAAAGTTACACAGTATGTCTTTGTTAAAAATGCAAAAGGTTAAATCTGACTTCCTGACATCCCGGTTATGTTTAGATGTAATTCTCATAGCAAGTTTAACCAGCTCTTGTGTACAGTACACGTATCAGATAAGGTTTGCCAAACTTGACGTCGTCTCCCTTCGCCCTTGACGGTCGATGTGTCCAGAAACAGTGAAAACGTGAAAAACTCTGTCCACAAAGCGCCTCCCGTGCCTCGTCCGCTCCACCAGCATCACCACCACAGAGTATATGCCCACCCCCACCACCGCTGCTCCCCCTCCAGCCAACAGAACCACCCCGGAGATGTACATGTCATTCAGGGCCTGTCCCGGTTTGGGCATGTCATTAGCGAGAGCCAGCCGAAGCAAGACCCCTCCGCATATGAGCAAGGATACACCGGTGATCAGGACCACCAGGAGGTCAGACAACCCCCCGCTTTTTAACATGTCGATCCGCTGTCTGCTCCTTACACAGTTCATGTCTTGTACGGCGGAGCTCAGTAGCTGTTTAAGAAGTACTCCCAAGGCTAGCAGGCAGAGCGCAGTACCAGCCCCTAACCGCCATTCGCTGGACACGCTGGTGGTAGTGGACAAGAGACCCACCCCACCCAACCCACAGCCCAGAATCAGTAGTATAGACACAGTGTAGCAAAGCATAGACCTCCCTGGATCTCGGAACCACCATAGCTCCACCTGCTCCTCCAGGATGCTGTGTTGGATTTGGGCAGGGTCGGCTGGTCCGTTTAGACCCAACTCGGGGCCTCGGTGGGGGTCCCTCAAGGGGGGAAAGTTGTCCAGTTCTGGCATCTTGCTTTGGGGTCCAGCGTGTTGTGTGAAGCCGCCACCACTGCAGCAACCTCAGTCTATAGCTAATAAATCCGCGAACTGAAGATTTAAACTCTGCTCTTTCCTCTGAAAATGGTGAAAAGTGCTTAAAAACTCATCGTGGTGAATAATTATGATGTTTGGAATGCACAAAATAAGTGAGAAATAACTTTGGGCCACTGCAAACTGTTTAAAATGAGCTCGATCTGCTTGTCACATTTTTAAATTCACAGCGCCTTTAAAGCAGTTGTCTTGTTTGCGATACTTTAATTTGTCTCTACTTTGGGCGGCACACACAGTCGAGTTGGAGCAAAGTAGGCGAGTCGGTATAATTCTCTTTGTTGGTAAATCCACTGGCTTGTGTTGAGCTCCTTGTTACAGCATCAATATCCAATCAAAGAGGCGCTTGTCCGGAGCCGTTTGTAGAAAAGCAGCAGTCACCTGGAAAAGACCAAAACAAAGTGAGACCAATGAGCACATTACACCTGAGAAGATGACTCACAAATAAACAACAGCAGTAATTTATAATAATTTAAAAGTAACTGTCTGTGTCTCTACGCCATACCTTTATAAAATCATACTTGTTTTAATTTTATTTTTTTTTTTACTGTGCAATCTTGACCTATCTACTTACTTCCAGTCTAACGCTAGTATTGATGTGTGGTTGGTTGGATCAATCAACCAACAGAATAAAAATACAAAAATGCCAAAAATGTATTCAGTTTTTTCAGATTCAACTTTACTGGCATTACATTTGTACAAGTACAGGGCAACGAAATGCAGTTTTAGCATCTCTCCAGTGTGTAATCAGCAAGTACTAGATACTGACATTGAGTTTGTATACCTCTCAATTAAAAAGACAAGGCTGGCATCGCCCATTATAACTGAGTAAATCTCTGTTTAATTAAATTTTGATTTATTTCACACTTGCACAGGTTTTTCTTGTCACCTATTATAGAAATGATCAGATTCACCAGTTGTGAATTTGTTAAGAATAACACATCAATGAAAGAGAAATACTGGCTCCTAATCCAATTTAGAGAAGCCCCTTCATTTCTTTCTACAATTGTAAAAACAATCAAAACAGTGTACTCCAAAGGATGAGACACAAAGCTGGTGAACACTTGCTTTTGAATGTCTTTGCTTGTTACCACAGCAACTTTGTCAAAATGAACCGTGCGCACACTTTTTTGTACTTTCTCCGAACTCCAAACTTACTTTGACTCTGTTTTGAAAGGTGAAAAAAAACAAAAATGGCCGTCTTGCTGACACTGGCAACCTCTTCCATCTCTCATTATCACTATGCTAATGCATCGCCACAACAGAGGCAGCCACAGCGGGATAAAACACGGTTCAGCTGCCCATGGAATAAACAATGATGATCTCGCCCATAAACAAACTCCCACGTCTAATGCATGGATGTACATTTTCCCTCTCCTCCGCCCTCCCCTGCACCAAATCCCTCTCTATGAATCTTTGCATGTCAAAACACCTCTGCTAAATCTATTATTCCCAATCCTATAATCTTTACCTTACCTCAGCATATTCCACATAACACTTTGTAACCTCATCACACCTCTTTCCGTAATGCAATCATGTAAACACACAGGTCTATAGATGCACACACACGCACACACACACACAAAGCAGCTCAAGGTTATGGCTGCAGACAGCTTGTCTTTAAAACCCTGCCGGAGCCCTTTTATTTCCATCAAAGTCAGCAGTGCGGTGCAGAACCCCACTTGCCCCAGCACAAGCTGACAGCAGTGACAGACTGGGGGATTGGACTGCCTTTAACTTGGATTTATGACATATATTTTTTAAACGTCATTACGAAACAATAGTGTAATCCAGCTATGACTTCTAACTGTTCGCAGAAGTTCAAAGTTAAAGTTCATGTGGTATGTGTATGTATATATGTATTTCTAATAATTACTTATGGTAAATAGTTATCATAGTTTGCACCAGTGAAACATCTGTTTAAACATACACTGAAGACAATAAAGATGTTTATTTTCATATATTCTACTGATCACATAATAACTGTCAAATTAGACAAGCTTTGGTCCTTGTGTACAGTATAGTATAGTTGCTTAGTAATTGTATAATGATCTCTACCTAATGTATATCCTAATGTATATATTCAAATCTGCTGCCCATGTCCAACCAGGAGGAAAAATTATAAACTTCAATTTTTCTGTGTAATCCTTGGCAAAATCTTAAACCAAATCTCAAATATATGTAACAAACACCTTAAAGGTATATTTTATCCCGATGAAGGTTTAATTTGGTCCTGTTCTAGTCTTCAGTCCAGGTCTAGTCCGAGTTTTGATGTGGTTTACGTGAAAGTATGAAGCACCTTAAGAGTCCAGTTCCTGCAGGTGCAAAGTGATACGGCAAATACCAGAGCTGTAAATTCACTGGACTGATTAATTCGTAGTGACAGGGGATAGGGCTGAAGAGAATAGGGGCTATCAGTTTATAATACAATGTGATGAAAAGTGGCAGTGATACGAAATTAACCTGGGAAATTCAATACTATGGCTGCTGTTATTGCCTCTGAAAAAGAAGTTAGGCTTTGGGGTTATTGGTTTGTTGGCTCCCATAGGTGTAGTTCTGCTGAGTTTTTGCTTCAATTAAACGGTATTTTGGTGGAAAAAAAAGTTTACGGAGTTATGGTTCTAGATAATTCAATTGAAATCATTTGTTTCTATGGGACCATCGTGCACATAAAGGATTGGACATTTAGCCACATAAACGCACGATTTGTGAGCATATAATTCAGATACCAGTTTGTGATTTGCTTTTCTAGGAGTTGCAGTTAAAAATGTTCCTAATTCTCTCCATGTACTTAAAGTTTTTAATATTTGAATTGAACTCAGTAAACCCAGATTATCTGATCTCTACTTTTTACAGCAAATATTAGCAATTCTACACCTATAACTGCAATAACATTAGATCGCATCATGATACAGACATAAAATTAATGTTCCAAGCATTATTAAAGATGGTTTTTCCTTCAAGGCTATCTCTAAAGGTTTTAAATTAAGCAAAATTTACTCTTAAGCCATGTTACAATGCTGTTACCTCATTAAAAACATATCTGGAGTTGTGTGTTGATTCATTTATACATTTTAAGTCTGCCTACATCCCCAAAGCTCAAAATGCTCTGTTCCACCTTCTGATATAATATACAAATCTCTCAGTACGATGTTTTCACGATATACATCTCACGGTACATTTATTAAGATATTTTGTGGAGGCTAAAACTGTTAATATGCTACTTTTTCCTCTTAAAATGCCTTGACAAGACTTAATCCAAAGAACTAAGATTTAAAAGTGCTTAGAACTGTTATTTCTTCATGTAGTTTACACTGAAATGGAGCAAAGGGTCATGGTCTATGTAGTTCCCTCTGTCTTTTTTTTTAGCTATTGCTGCACCATAACTCTTAATTTAAGCAAAGAGACTTGTAATTCGATATATTGTGATGGTCCACGATATTACTGTGAGAACTCTCATGATACGTTATCACGATATTTTGGTTATTGTTACATCCCCAGAAATGAGCCATTACTATTATTATCTAGTGAAGGTGTATGGAGTTTAAAAGACAATGGAGCACTTCTTGCATTACCACATGGCATCAGAAGGTGGAACAGAATTTTCTGTTTGAGAGAAGAAGGATATGCAGGATGTATTAAACAGTCTGAATGAAACAAAACACAACTCCAGTTTTTGATGAGGAAAATGGCACAACACGGGCCCTTTAATGTACCGTCTTAATTGCACTATTGACCATGTAGCCTATGGCCCTCGGCTACGAATATGTTTCAATTCGCCGCCCTCAATGAAAACAAATTTGGATACCCCTGGGCCCTGACTTAAACGGAGTGATGGATGAAAGCCCTGAGCCTGCCCACCAACCAGAAGGTAAGAAGTTTGTAACTCGCATGAGTGCATACTGTTTTTGGGCCCCAGGCAACTGCAAGACACTTTTAGTTTCCAGTCACAGTAGGAGCCGAAGCACCATAGATTGTTTATAAATGGACATAGCTAACAGCTAGTCGCCGTGTTCCAAATAGGAAGTGACCATGGGGACACTTCCAGTTCCATCAACTCTGTGAAAAATTGACTTTACTTTGAAAAATTGTCAGCCGTCTCGTTGCAGAGCCTTGTAATTTTGATCTTAAAATGTTTGAATTAACCAACTCTGCATGATCTTGTTTTTATTTTGCTATTCTGTCCGTAAATACATTCCTCGGCTCTTAATCCGCTCCTATAACAGCTTGCCAAACGCTATGTCACACTCCCTTAGTCCACTTCTTTATACAGTCTTTAAGAAGCACCAAAGATAATTTTTTGGGGAAAAGTTGAACTAAAAGCAACAAAATAGATCTATATTCATTAATTTGCTGTTCTGTGAGAGACATAGCAGCTTCCGAAATACAGCATGAGTCTGACTCAAGTGGCAGAATCAATTCTCTGTCACTTTCCATCTGTCTTGCTCCAAACTGAACATCAGATTTCTTATTAGTGTGGACAGGTAATGCTGCGCGGCAAGGTGGAGTGTGCATCATGACAGAGGGAGATATGAGGCGCCTACATGTGGTGTCAAATGAAGAGCCAGGTAATTACATCAGGGAGGGGGGCCGAGAGGTGGGTCTTGTTTATTGGCTGCATGCTGTTTCACATCCTGTCTGTTATAGATGATTATGTATGTTGCCATGCTATAGTATATGTTTAACAGGGGTATGTATGTGTGTGTATGTGTGTGTGTGTGTGTGTGTACTCGTGCGTACAGTGTGTGAATGATGAACTTGGTGTTGTGAAGTCACTAATTAATCCCAGATGCTTTGGCTCACACTCACTGTCAGGAGCAGGACAGGAATAGAGCAGTAATTGAGGGAGTGTTGATACCGGCAGAGGGGCAAAGATGCGCAGGTGACAAAAACAATATAGTGAAAAAATAATACAAATGTTACATGAATGAAGTGAGTGGTGCAGTTGTAGGGTCAAAAGACAGGCTACTACTTGAGCCATTCCCAAACCTGGATAAATGAGTGGCGACAGAAAAGGCATGTGGGATAAAAACACAAATATTGAATGGATGAATGAAAAAGCCATACCTGCCTGGCAATACCTGATTTCTGTGGATTTGCTTTTACTGGACTTTACTGTTTTTTATTGTCTTAAAACTGTCAAAGTTAAATTGACATTTTATACCCTCTATTGTTTTTTGTTTGTTTTTAATGTTATCTTTATATGTGCAGCGCTTTGGAAACTGTCTTGCTCATAAAATGTGCTATATAAATTGGATCTCATCAGATTTCAGAAGATGAGCAAGGCAGGCCTGGTTTGTACTTGGATGGGAGGCTGTTGGGAATACCAGGTGCAATAGTGGAGCAACTGTGTCTCTAATTAAAAATGCCATTGTGTCCTT